GAATGTGACAAATAGGAGTTGGAAATTTGGAGTAGGTAGGAAGGGAGGGTATCAATAGACTTCCATTAAGGAAGGAACCTTGTTTTTCTCCCGGATTTATACTCTTTCCGGGTTCTGCAGCATTTTAGGATTACCCATTAAAGTTTCAGTGCAATACAAAATGGGGAGTTGTTTGCTTTATGGCTCCAGGATGTGGCATTTTCGACAGTAGCCCAGGCTTCATAGTCGACTGAGTATTGCAGCTGGAAGAGTAAAAAACTGGCATCATATTGCCTGGTTACCAACCTCTCTGGTGAGACTTTCTTTGTTTGTTTTTAAGGTGTGGTGCCGCCATGTTGATTTTGCACAGCCCCAGCCCCCAGCTGAATCCTCTCTCCGGCTACTTAGAGCGGAGCACTAAATTTCTATGACCTGACCATGCTGATGCCAGCCTGCAACTGCAAGAAAAAGAACTAAACAAATTCTGTACGTCTCTGCAGTCTCATCCTTTGTGGGTAACCCTGTATGTAATAATGCTCTTCCATCATATATATATTTGTTTGTTTGTATATGTTTGCTTAGAGCTTGCCAAACGGGTGGACCAAATTGGCTGACATTTTTTTCAGGGAATCCATGGGTACCTGGGTTTAACATAGGCTAAAAAAGATACATTTTTTCCTTCAAAGTTCCAATTTTTTTAAAATTAGATTTTTTAAATTTTGACAGGCAACGCCGAGCACTTAAGCTAGTCCTCTTTTAAATTTCAAATGTACAGTGAACAAATCTGCAGTTGCTTAATCTAGGCAAATACAGAATAACCACTGAGAGATCTGTATATTCATTTTTCTATGAAAACTATGAATAAAATGAATGGGTTGACTGAAGTGGCGCATGATGCACTGTAGATTCAGTTTATGATAATATTTCAATTAGTATTTCAAGGGTAGATCTTTTATGTGCAGGGACTGGAGTCCGAATTATTGAAACAATTAAAAACGTGATTGTTTTCAAGACAGATATTGGATATTTGTTGAAGTAAATATTGATATCATGGATATAATAATAGAATGGATGTATCAACGACAAGTTTTAATGTAATTTTCTCAGTGGGGTGAATTGCAGTACATTATTAGTCATACAGGGGACTAAATTTACTTGCAATTTGTCTCTGATTTTCGTTAAGTAATCAAATATTATTTTAAGTATAAAGATATCCCATTAGATTAATCTTGGAGAATCCCAATTTTGTTAGAACTTTATTACTCAACGGTTGAAAACAACGAAATTGTATATTTTATAAACATTTTATGTTCTGAGCTGGTGGTTCTGACAAGTTCGTCTGTATATTATATATAAATCATTGATTTTATAATTATAGCCCTTATATATATCTGTACCATAACCTTGTAAACTAAAAATTAAAATAAAATAAATCGAAATAAGATAAGATAAGATAAGATAATATAATATAATATAAGATACTAGCCTTAGAGGGCATCTTCTAATTAATTGTGAACATGTTCTCTTTGTGTACATCGAAAAAAAAACAAAAATGATTCGCGGATTTTCACAAAAAATTTCGTGGATTTCCTGAAATTTTAAAAAATTTAATGAAGATCGAATTTTGATGGAGACAAATATTTAAAATTTCAATCATTCAGAAACCTTCCCTAGGGTCCCTAGATCGCCCACAAAAAATTTGGGCCCGATCGGTTCAGCCGTTTTGACGTTTATTGGATACAAACAGACAGACAGACAGACAAACACCCAGACAAGCCAAATTTATATATAGAAGATCAGATAAGATAAGATAAGATAAATAGTTGTCAACGGAGTAAAGTTTTTTAATCTTGGTTAAATTTAGCCTCCTTCTTTGTATCATTAAAAATTAATCTCGCTTGTAATTAATTATATCCTTTGCTTGTCTGTCTATTTGTATCCAATAAACGTCGAAACGGCTGAACAAATAGGGCCCGTGGCACCTAACCCGACCCCAGGGAAGGCTTATGGATGGTTAAGAGTGAAAAGTTTTACCTGGAAAAAATTTCGATTTTTACAATGCCATAAGAAAAATAGTTTCTTGTAAAGCAACATTTAAACGCTTAAATTGTTAATAGAAGAGAGGTGCAAAGCGGCCTGAATGTCATAATTCTTTTTAAATTTCCCAGTCAATTCCTGAGATACAAAAAGGGGAGACCACATTTTCGCAATCCTTAAGGTACTGACTTAAATATTTGTGATTAAAATCTTGGCAACTATGTACTTTTCAGCATGTATAATAAAAAATGATACCCCTCAAACACATTGATTTATAAGACGTTGATCAGTTAATTTCTTAATGTCTAATCTATGTGATGGGCAATGAACATGGACATGGCGAAAATGTCCTGAAAAGTTAAAACCATTTCTGTGAGTGTCCAACACGTCATTTGGAGTAACTAGTTATTTTAAAAACATTATATTTCAGTTTATAAATTCATATACAGGGTGTCCCACGAAACATGACAGTTGGTATAAATAGTTTAGAATGCCGTCTTCCATAATTTGATAAGTTTTTTAATACGAAAGACAATAATAAAAATATTATTTAGGAGTCATATTATAGTAAAATTAATTTCAAAGTAAAATATACTAGAGCAAAAGATTTTTTAAACGAAATAAACTGCAAACAGCCTTTAATATCTGATACAGTGTATGGAAGACGACATTCAAAACTATTTATCAACTGTCATGTTTCGTGGGACACCCTGTATTATATCAAGAATAGTTAGCAATTATCAACCTGTACAATAATGTGTTAGGGATTAAATCAAAAGTAAAAATATAGATAAAATTTATCCCATTCCAGGGGAAAAATCGGCAACATAAAAGTTATCATTCACTGTCCCTTTTTACAATTCGCTCGCATATAAATTATAATTTTTTTACTATTTTAAGCTCTTTCCAGAATTTAATGATGAAGGATGTGCTTAATGCATTGAATAAAAGCAACTGATTAAGAAATCTAGAATTTTGGGAAAAATTCTGAAGATTGTTCAATGCATATTTATCAATTATGACAATTTCTAAATACTCATGACATAAGAAATGGATACATTTAATCTATAAATAATCACTAATTATCTTCTGATGAAAGACATAATTTTATTAAATGTTATATAATTTACAACTATTCACAATTAAATAGAATTAATATGATCAAACCATTGCACAATAGCCCAAATACCATTTCAAATTCCTAGAGGATAATAAGAGGTTTCTGAACACCATCATTGACTTAGAAACAGGTTTCTATCAAAACATATCTCCTTCTAGTGAGAAATCAAAATTTGTAAGACACACTCTGTATAATGTAAATCCAAAAGTACGATAAAAAAGATGAAATAAAATAGCTAATATGGTAGATGAATAGAAGAATTAAGGAAAAGGTATGGAGTATAGAGATAGAAGACATGAGAAAAACTAAAGAACGATTAGTGCAAGAGTTAATGGGAAAAATGGAAGGTGTAGATTGTAAAGGATAAAGGATTAGGATTAAGGCAGAAAAGTAAACAATGAAGATTTAGAATGAAGATGGAAGAAAGAGGAATAATTGATAATGGATAAGGATTAAGATGGAAGAGTAGAGAATAAAGATTTTGGATTACGATGGAAGAGTAAAGGATAATTGAAATACGATTAAAATTAAGTTGGCTAAGTAAAGTAAAGAGATTAAATGATTGGAATGAAGATGGAAGAATAAAGGATTAAGATAAGATGGATAAGTCAAAAAAAAGGTTTTTAAAACATGAAATTTTGCTCATTTAAGCCTAATAGTTTTAAAATTCAAAAATCCCAAATAAACAGGGTGTACCTAGGAACCATCGAAATTTCACCAGGACAAACAGATATGATTTAATGGATACCTTTTCATGATGATGTTAATAGAAACATATGCTATTCTCTTTAAAGATTCAAATCAAATGGCATTAGTTTGTTGGCATTTGCTTGGCTCTTTGCGGCCGTTTGGTGTAAGTTGTCACGAGTTGCGGGTTTCTCACAACTTAAACAAAGAGTTAAATGGGTAGCCAAACGTTCTTGAATGTACAGACTTGAGTCATTAAAGAACTCGTGAAAATTTATCTGGGAAAAGAATTTAATGGAATAACTTTAACAGAAAAAAAGTTACTAAACATTTAAAGGTGTCTCTAGTTGTACAGGGTTTTTCTTAGAAAAAACCTCAATATCTCACCAAGACGGAGAGATATGATTTGATGGAAACTTGTTTCCAATAACCCTCATGCATGAGTACCAGGAACAAGTTGAATTAGCTCCGCAATACCAAGTTAACTTTTTGCTCTTAAGGACCACTGTCAGCGTGTTTCCAAGATGGGGAAAAAATTGTAAATTTTAAAACCAATTACTTTAATTGCTTAAAAAAAATATTAAAATCAGGTTAGTTAATTAAGAACTGCTCATAAAATAAATGAGTGCCATTAATGAGCAAAAGTTTAATTTGTATGATCAGTTTCATCTTAATCATTTAATAATTATATTTATATATGTACTTAAACCAAGATTAAAGAATACAGCTGTGAATTAAATAGTTCACATTATTATCCAAATGTGGGATATTATTAAGTGCATTTGTACACAGTACATTTAAGAAAACGACCAAGGAATAGATTGCCAACTGTAATAATCATTAATCATGGACAGATTTCCAACAGTAATCATGAACAGATTTCCAACCGTAATCAATAACAGATTTCCGACCGTAATTATGAAACTGATTTCCAACAGTTATCAGGAACACTGAACAGATTTCCAACAGTTATCATGGACAGATTTGCAAAAGTAATCATGTGCAGATTTCCCACAGTAATCATCAACAAATTTCCAACAGTAATTATGGACCGATTTCTTTAATTATAAACATAATTATGAACAAATATTAATTGCAAACGGACCAAGAGATATTAAAGACACAATCATAATAGAACAGATACAACAATAAGTTTTAAAATCACAATCTACTGTACCTTATATATTTTTTTTATTTTATTTCAACAAGTAAATTATATATTATCATTAATTAAATATTTATTTTTCTCTTCTCCCTGCCAGATCTAAGGTTGTTTAAGATTAACAATGTAAAATTCGTACAATCAATTGTGGCAATTGTTTACAATGTAATTGTACAATTATCCGAGTAAAATATGTACACAGTAGGTCACAGTGTACACTGCACACAGTTTACAACATAAAGGCTAATTTTTGGTGGATTTATGTGATTAAACTTCCCTTGTGTACAGCGGATATATGTTTTCGTAGATCAGCTGGTTTCACGCAGGCATAAGCGCACACATTACATTTGTAGTTTTTAGTTCGCGCGTGCACAAACCTAATGTGCTCTGATAGATTAGAAGCGTGTTTACCACAGTGAGGACAAATTTTTCTAATCCCGTGATGCACGGCATTCTGATGTTTGATAAGATCACTTTTAAACAAGGTTTTATACTCACATTGACCACACGCAAAGTTCTTCTCCTTCCGATGCACATAGCTAAACAACACAGGAATAAGTTGAAACAAAGTGAATCGTTAAATGGCGAAAATAATTATCATAAAATTATAATTACCGAATATGTTCATTCATGTTTACAACTAGTTTCCCGCATTCTTCACAGTTCTTAGCTTTTGATCCTTTAACCTGAACAAAACAATAGATTTGGATCGTCTTCCGAAATACACATTTTTAATGGTAAAGAAAGGTAATTTATAAAAACAAAATTATGAAAATTTTACTGAACACTGCCTGTTTACTGTAGGTTCCGGGGAACAAAATATTCAGGGGCGGTTTATGACATTTACAAGTGTGAGGGGGAAATTAAATTATTTTTATCCCCCCCATAGAATTTTTTACAGCGAATTTGGTCCATTCTATGTCAAAACCATGACAGCTTGGGGGTGAAAAGGGGAAAATGTGTAATCAACATTTGGATTTTTATAAAAAATATTCTTTTTGAGTGAAAAAGGTCGCGTCGTCCCCCCTTCCCCCTAAGCCGCTTAATCTTTCTTTAAAAAAACGATAATGATTCTATAATCGGATATTTTCAATACATTGAGACTCGGATCAGGATTAATATTGAGACAACATAAAGCAAAGAATATTTGACGTAAAAAGTGGAATTGAAAATATAAAAAATGTAAATGTTGTAGTTTAGAATATTGTTTACCTTTCCCTCAGTTTTGATAGGTTTCTGTTCCCCTATTCTCTCTGTATGCTTGGAGACGGTGTGCTTCATTAGATCGTTCTTAAAGCTAGAGCAGTAACTACACAACTCACACTGATAGTTCTTCACCTGCCAGTGTACAGACTTCATGTGTTCATTCACGTTGGTCAACTCCTTCTTACACTCAGGACAGGGCTTCCGGGGTAAAAAGGTTTTCCGGTCACCCCCAACCTACATTTTCAATTATAATTCATACTCTCAAGATAAACTGGGAGACCCAAAATTAGGAGGTTTAAGTACCTAAAATCCTATGAAGAGATTTAAAACTATGTCAACTGACCCTATGTACACAATACGTTACAAGCCAGCCAACACACATCAATATGTAAGGTTACGCCCATGTTAAATCGCTTTTATTTTATACGTGGGATGTCCTAGCCAGGCTGTACGAGTTTAATCTCATAGCTCTTCTCTCTTATATATATATTTAGTTGAAGAAGTAGGCTGTAGAGTGTAGACCAATAGTATCCTGATGATTGCGGAAGCATAATACAACTTGTAGATTCGATACTTTCTTTCTATATCTTATACTTGGGATTTTCTGTGTGTGTAAGAGTATGATCAGGTTGGGGTTCTATCCTATACCTGGGATTTCCTAGCTGTGTGCATAAGAGTATGATCAGGTTGGGTTTCTATCCTATACCTGGGATTTCCTAGCTGTGTGTATAAGAGTATGATCAGGTTGGTTTCTATCTTATACCTTGGATTTCCTAACTGTGTGTATAAGAGTATGATCAGGTTGGGTTTCTATCCTATACCTGGGATTTCCTAGCTGTGTGTATAAGAGTATGATCAGGTTGGTTTCTATCCTATACCTGGGATTTCCTAACTGTGTGCATAAGAGTATGATCAGGTTGGGGTTCTATCCTATACCTGGGATTTCCTAGATGTGTGTATAAGAGTATGATCAGGTTGGGTTTCTATCCTATACCTGGGATTTCCTAGCTGTGTGTACAAGAGTATGATCAGGATGGGTTTCTATCCTATACCTGAGATTTCCTAGCTGTGTGCATAAGAGTATGATCAGGTTGGGGTTCTATCCTATACCTGGGATTTCCTAGCTGTGTATAAGAGTATGATCAGGTTGGGGTTCTATCCTATACCAGAGATTTCCTAGCTGTGTGCATAAGAGTATGATCAGGTTGGTTTCTATCCCATACCTGAGATTTCCTAGCTGTGTGTATAAGAGTATGATCAGGTTGGGGTTCTATCCTATACCTGGGATTTCCTAGCTGTGTGTATAAGAGTATGATCAGGTTGGGTTTCTACCCTATACCTGGGATTTCCTAACTGTGTGTATAAGAGTATGATCAGGTTGGTTTCTATCTTATACCTGGGATTTTCTAGCTGTGTATAAGAATATGATCAGGTTGGGGTTCTATCCTATACCTGAGATTTCCTAGCTGTGTGCATAAGAGTATGATCAGGTTGGTTTCTATCCCATACCTGAGATTTCCTAGCTGTGTGTATAAGAGTATGATCAGGTTGGGGTTCTATCCTATACCAGGGATTTCCTAGCTGAGTGTATAAAAGTATGATCAGGTTGGGTTTCTATCCCATACCTGAGATTTCCTAGCTGTGTGTATAAGAGTATGATCAGGTTGGGTTTCTATCTGCTCCGGGAGCGGATCCTCTTCATATTTAATAATTGTCTCCGGGTGCTGTAATAGCTCAAGGGTTTGTACAACTGTTGTACTCTCATCAGTAATGACCTAACAAGAAACAATATAAAACAAATGTTGAACCGTAAAAATATGAATTTAAATTTTGAAAATAATTTCTATTACTTGTTCTACTCCTTCTTCATTTATAATACTAGCGCTAAACTGAAGAGGAGGTTGGGTTGTGTTCTGACAGTTTCCCTCTACAGGCCGCAGCTGTAAAGAACTCTGAGCTCCATCCTATAGTTTTAAAATTCATTATATTTCAAGTGTCTAACAAATATGTTAAAATAAAAATTTACTTCCAATTCATATCAAATCTAAATCCGACCCTAGTCCAATCCATATAAAATATTTATTAATTATTTAATCCATGTCTAATGTCTAATTTAATCTAACTCATATCTACAATTCATGTCCAATCCCAATCCATCTCCAAATCTCATAAATATCCGTCCCCTATTATCCCAGTATTAGCCTGGCTACCTGCTGAGCTTGATCCTGAATAGTTCTAATCTGAATACCAGACATATCAATAATATTGAATGTCGTCATATTAGCTCTGAACTTGAAATGCGGGTACTGATATTCGTTCATCTGAAACTATTCTTAATAATTTTTAAGAAAATAATCTTGATTTTGGAATATTTAACAACTAATAATTCATATAGTTATAATCACTGGATTTTTTAACCAAAATGCATTTGAATAAACATAATAATGTCATTAGGTTACCCGTCAAATATAATACTATATAACAGCAACATTATAAATACATCCAAGCAATATAAAATAACGAAATTTTTTCCATGGCAATTTAAAATAAATAAATCTAAAGTATAAAAAAACTTTTATAACAAACCTAAGATAAAAACGACTAGTTTGGACAACAAATTTATGAATACCGTACTTCATGTGCAACACTGTAAAGGTTTATGCAATATGCAATGCATTGCATATTAACATTAAGCAATCATATAGCATTCCAGTATGTAACAAGACGATTGATTGATTGATATTATTTAATTAATGGCACGGTGCCCTCAATTTAATCGTTCCTTTTGGCGCACTTTACACCAAGTCCGTTCTATTAATCTGCTGTTAAATCTAGTCTTTTTCTGTTATCTTAGTAACAACCGTAGAAAAAGTTCCGAAAAAGGTCTCTGAAGGCAGTACTGTGTATATAAGATGTCGTACAAATGTTAGTGTTTGTACGATGGTCTAGGGTCGGAGGGCTGGTGAACAAGTGTATGTAAGAGGTTATTACTGTCTTCAGAAGGATAAGGTAAAGGCTGTCTCCATGCGTCCGTCTCCGATATTTTCGAGAATTTTAAAGACTGAGTTTCCGCCTTGGATTCTGTTTCCGGTTCCTGTAGAGCAGATTTAGACTTGGAGGCTCGGAGACGAGGCTTCGCTTTACCTTTTACACTTGGGTTGGGTCTAAACAAAAAGTGTGTAAAAACTGAATTTCTAAATGATGAAAAAAATATTAACTAGTAAATGATTGTCTTTGTCTTGGAATCCAAGTATTTATTTAAAAATCCGTCTAAAGGTTTTTAATATAAATTATTAAAATTACGCATTTGAAGAACAAAAAATATTTTTCTTAAAACAACCATACATTGGGATACCTAAAGTTGAGTATCAAAACCCCCAGCGAGGGGGGAGGGGATGCAAGCCGCATCCGTATAGCATCCGTCCCGCAATTTACACAAAAACATAGACCTGCGCCAACGCGCTAACCCGTAGCTCTTCCTTAGCCGCACCCATTTATCTTCCGACAAAATGTCTTCACTTTTGAATACTTATTTAAGAGAATTGCAGCATTAAGTTAAGATTTTAAAGACGTCATAGCATCTATTATAACCTTAACATATTAATCATATTTTTTTTTTGGTAATATAAGTAAACGTAACATTCTTCATCACTGGGGCAATACTTGTTATTTTTTTTGTTAAAACTGTGATTTATTGCAAGACATTTTGCTGGAAGATATATGGGTACGGCTAAAGGACCGCTACGGGTGAGTACGTTGCCGCAAGTCTATGTTTGTGAGTAAATTGCGGAATGGAGGCTATACGGGTGCGGTTTGCCTTCCCCTCCTCTCCAAGAATTTTCTTGGACCAACCATTTATGAGGCTTGATTTTTCGTGCTCATTATAATTTTTATTTCCCCGCAAAATAAAAGATAATAAAAATAAATTTTAAAAACCCGACCTGGCTGGTCCGAATGTGAAGAAGAGAGTTGACAACTGATATCCTGAGAGTGCTAGGAAACCAAGGATAAGAACTACTGCTCCCACAACCAGAGCAGGTATCTTCCAAATCAATGGAAGTGGAGCAAGAAAGTTGTTTACAAAGTGTCCTAGAGCATGTCCTAATCCTCCAAGCACACCCAGGAGCTGGGAAACACTTTCAACCAGGGCATGGACAAGGTTCACCTAACATCACATAGTAAAGTTTTCTGTTAAACACTTAAATATACGAGATCTGTGATTAAAAAAATTATATTTTATTTTAAAAACTTTCATTCCCCTTAAAGCGACAGACCGGCAGATTTTATGAAATTTTTATTAAAAAGACGACATCTGAAGAATTTGAAGAAACCTGCGAACAAATTCATAGAAAATAAGAAATTCAATATAAAAATGAAAAAGAAAATAATTAATTCAAACTTCGATTTATTGACAAATTTCTTTAGCGAAATATGCCCCTAATTAGTTTACAACAGAATTTTTACTATATTTTTCGTCGTCGCTATTAAATAATTTTAAAAAAACCGATTCTGAAAACGTACCACCACCCAAATTCATGATTTTGAACGTCGACTTTGGGCTCAAACTCAGTAATTTTACATCGTGGAAAGGTTTTATATGTCTCAAATGAATCCTTAAGAATTTGTCCACAACACTGCATACTCAGTTTAACTACTTTACATAGCCGGTCTGTCCCTTTAGCAAATTCAATCTTAATTGTGACGTGACCAACTACCCTTTTTCATAGATCTAAAAAGTGAACCCAATTTCAGGCCCCCCCTCCCCCCCGGTCCAGATGACAAGACACACCTCAAATGCTGGATCTACTAGAGCAGCCCTATAATATTCTTCACAAGGATCATCCTTCCCATTAAACAACCCGGAGAAGAAATCAGTGATTGAATTTGCCATTCCGCGATTCTCCAACCTAAACAGTTCAGGATCAGGATCAGGATTAGGATCAGGATCAGGATCAGGATCAGGATCAGGATCAGGATCAGGATCAGGATCAGGATCAGGATTAAATAATGGTACCTGCAATTCTTCATATTTGGTCCATGTTTGGCCAATATTGCTTCCTTTTTGGCCACCGCCTTCCAGTACTCCCCCAGCCAGGTGTGCACGATGCAGTAGCAGAACATTACAACAAGTATCAAACGCTTCTGGATAGACAAGAAAATATTTTTTTCTTTTTTCCCCTGTTTACAAATGAATGGGAATTATTGTTTGCAGAAACGCTATAGAACCCCTATTTCGAGAATTAGTGTGCTTTCAATCACTTGTTGTTAAAATAAATGTATGTCGTGCTAGTTTTATCAAACCTAACTACCAAAATGCGCAAGGCTAATTAGCTATTTATGAATTCATCAGCATTACTATTCTGTACAGCGCGGCGAGAATTTTCATAAATTTCCCCAAAAGCTTCCAAACCTTTTAGTTCGCGCAAGGCAGTTTAAAGCAATTAAGTAAGCAGAAACGTTATTGATTATAAATAAAAAGTAATTTTATGCGTTATTAATAATAATTCTTTTTTATATTATTTATTTTCTTATTTTCCTTAGCTCCAAGAAACATAGGGAGCAACACTACGCAAAGTATCAACAGCGACTAAAATAGGAAAGTTTTATATAATTAAAAACTTACATCAAAATGACTTGAATGGTAACTGGAGCTCTTTTTTAGTTTTACATACTTTACGAAACATTTAGAAATTAGGCTCGGAGCAGGGCAGGTACAGAGAAGAAATGGACATAAATAGACAAGTTTTTCACCCTTTCACCTCCTTTTCTGCAAATCAAACCCTAAACTTTTTTACAAACAAACCTAACTTCTGGGGATAAAAAAATTTTCAAAAAGGTGTGGGGGGTGATTTTAAAGAAAACATAAACCCCTGAAAGAACGTCTGTCAATCTTAACTTACAATGGCGAGTAGTGCTATAGATGGTTTAATTCTATTTACTCCAAGAGAACTAAGAACATGAAGACCTCGTCCAACTAATCCATCCTCGACACGAGATAGAGATTTCAGGAGAATATTCTTCAAATTAACCAGGGTAAATCTATATTCAAGAAAAATTTAATTGGCACTAGTTTTGGTCAAAGGACTTAATGGGGAAGAGGGAGGGAGGCGGGAGTGCAATCACTTTAACTACCAGGGGATTCATAAGAAGAGGGAGGGAGGCGGGAGTGCAATCACTTTAACTACCAGGGGATTTATAAGAAGAGGGGAATGAACACTGTAAGTTCGAAGAGGGGTAAATATATGAATAAAAAAAAATTGCATCTAAAAAACGTATTGACTCGAAGCCTATTTATTATAACTTTGTTGAAAGCAATTTTTAAGATTTTCCAGTTTCCTGAACTTCTGCAAACTTGATATCATCGTGCAGGATAAATCTTCTCAAGGTTTGCAATTCTAAATTAAATTAATCAGTAAAAAAAACAATCTATTTGGAACTTGAAATGTCATCAACATGTTATAACTTTTTATCTTTATGACATGACTAACGTGGGCTACGTTTATTTATGCTTGAAAAATGGCTGTTATGACGCTTGGTATATCATCTACTAAATAATCTCCATTTTCCCTAAACTGAATACTTAAAGACCTACCTTGAGCTGAGGTTGAGAATTCAAGGCTCCGAGGCGGAACTACTCCGGAGTGGGTTTCTAACTCTAGGATCCTTAACATCTCGCTCACAAAGGGTTTAAAGGGACGCTCCGGAGGATTAGCTAAACAGGTTCCTAGACTTCCCAATCCGGAAATAGCCTATCAAAATAATATCTTTGATCGACTTTTTACTTTACTGTATGTGTGTAACCGATAAACGTCTAAACGGCTGAGCCTGTCGGACCCAAATGTTGTGTTCACATGAACCCAGGGAAGGTTTATGGATGCTCAGAATTTAAAAAAATGGTATACAATTTTTTTGATTCCGAAATAAAATTGTTCTATCGAAGAGAAAATGCTGAAAGATTGAGCAACAATTATAAGTTTAAATAGAAGATGCACCCTAATATCCTAGTAAAATAAAAATATATTTTTAATCAAAATCAAAATCCAAAATCAATTAAGCAATAATCAATAATTAATTGTTAAAATTGGTACCTGGCCCATAAAAGATTTGGAAGACGACTCCAATTTACTACAAAAAAAGAAATAAAAATATAAATTTTTAGCAACAAAGTTAAGGGAAAATCCCAAAAACCAAGCCGAGAGGCAGTGGTGATAATCGACGTAATTTCAAGTGACCTACCATTGAAAGAGTTACATGCACCATTAACAACAGTTTCTTTAAAACATAATTTGATGTAACTCGTTGTTTTTCCAACTTACAGAGGTTTTGTTTGTCAATAACCTTCCTAGGTTCTGTGCATAAATATATTCTGAAGAGAAACCGCAAATAAAATTTTTAAAATTTTATAAAGGAAACATGTTGTTGCACAGATAAAGGTTTCATTGATACCATTGTGAATCGGGCATGTCACTCTATAAACAGATAACGAGGGGGGGGGGGAAGGGGGGGTGTCGCGAATTCTAAAATAACGTTGATAATCCCCTTTACTATCAAACATTTTTTGCATGAAACTGTGTTTTTTACAATATACATAAATTTCAAATATAAAAAATAACATTTATAAAAATCCCAACATTGCTAGGACAAATCACATTATTATATGTTTATTTTTAACCTTTGACAGGTTTCAAGCTGCATTCTAGTTTTCTCGAGTGCAATCTCCAAGTTTCTAATCATCTCTGTATCCGAAATCTCCCCCTGACTCCTGGGAAAAACATATTTAAGAAAATAGAAAGATTTTAGGTTTAAAATTCAAATCCCTGCCTGGCCTAGAACCAGCAGAGCAATGATATAAAGGCTTTTTCTCTCTAAAAAATTTGAAAACTGGACACTAATCTACTTAGTTATTAATGGTATTTATTTAAATATTTAAGCTTTGTGGAAAAGAACAGATAAAGAGAATAGTGTCGACCTGTTAAGAAGTTTTATAAACAGAATTCTATTTTTTTTGTGAGGATTTTTTAAAAAGAAAACATAAATGTTTCATATTCCTCCCTTTTAATTATTAGATAACTTACCTCAAAAAACGCTTTAATTCCCAGCAAAAAATGTTTAATGACAAATTGGTTGAGAAATAAATCAAATCAAATCACATCACAAATTTAGGTATGACTTAAGGCTCCTAAATGAGAATTAAATACCTAATGACGGAGCAGGAGAGAAGAAGAAAAATGACCCCTCTTGTCATAATTAAATCAATCAAGCTCGGAGTCATTTTAATCTAAAAAATAATAACGGTTTCTTCACAGTAAGAAGGACTTTCAATATGTTATTAAACAAGAAAAAACTGTGCTAAGGGAAAATATTTTATTAAGTATTCCCATACGATATTTAAAATCATGCTATTTTGTGTAATTTGTGTAAAATATCAAAACATTTATTTTTCAAAAAAACTTTTCTTTTTAAAAGAACCTGACTAAGTTCTTAAAAATGGTTAAAATAAGTCATAATCTTACATTTTATAATAAATGCTTACTGTTTTATTGTTTTTGTTTTATAAACAATTTCAAGGTTTTCACAAGATCCTAATGTCTATCAAAGAAGAATTTATTTGAGATCAATATTTTTCTTCCTGGAATAATTCATTCTTGGATGATGGTCATCGGACATATCTCTGCATTTCTTTGGACTGGATGAAGAAATATTAAAGTTAGATGAGTATATTATTCTAATGTTGGTTCTGACATTTTCTTGAACGCGAATACAGTGTAGATATTTAATGCGTCCCACTCGTCCTGTGACAGGGTTCCAACCATACGGATCTCGTCGTTCAGTACGCTCTAAACAAAAACAAAAACAATCTCAATGCTTCTTTTAAATCAGTGCTTAGGATTCGGATCCGCAAAAATATCAGATTCAAGGGACAAAATACCAACCAAAATCTGCAAAAAAAACTTTTTTACTCTCAAAACTCTGAACTGTTACATCAAATAAAAAGAGTTCGAACAGAAGCTAGAAAGACAGAAACCTCCTTAATCAAAGATGACATGGAATGCTTCAGTAATGCGTCAGAATTTTTTAAAATGATTTTAATTAGCAGATTGCAAATAAATAAAGCCATTTTCTGCTATGCCGAAATCCATATTTATAAACCTAGACACTTTATATTTAAATTGTACAGAGTGCATTTGTACTTACAAATAAATCTGTAGGAGTAATTTTTAACACAAACTTTCTAGTGTCTATGTAAACTGGTGAAATGTAAGAAAGGCTAGAGGTGGCTTAAAAAATCTTTTTATCTTAGCAATTTTTGGGGTCATGAAGTTAACCTTGTATTCGTACTTATAGAATATAAATGTTTTATTAAGATTTCTAATATTTTTTGATGAAAAATAATTTTTTCTTAGAATAAAAAATATTTTAATATCTAGCATGGTTTCTTCCCTGACCGGACTCGATTTCGGAGCAATTTGTACAATTTAACAATGATAAAAATAATTTAGTGCCGTCTGTAAAAAAAGTGTTAAAACCTGAGCGTATGTATATTGTTCTCTCTCTGCTACAAGATTATCCGTAGGAAATGGTTCAAGAGCAAACATTCTCCGTAATAAATTCTTCTCAGATTCACCTTTCTGCTTAGAGTGGAAATATCTCCCAAACCTAGAAGCAGAATAAATCAAGGATACAGAGATCGAAATTTTTGAAGTGATATTCCCTTTAACAAAAGCACTAATCCTTATTGTTTGTGGTTTTAAGTTTTAATTCGATTCCTTCTGAATTTCTCTAAAAAATAAATAAGATTTAACGGAAATATTATTCAGATGTTTTCCATTGATTAGGCACTTATCGCCATTTTAAAAATAAGTTCCAACCATCGAAATAAGATAATACTGTACCTTTCATTCCCTATTAACATGAGACCGTATTTCTCCGCGAGTTTGACCATGACTGGTAGGTAGACGAGGAACTCTGGGCAGTCCACCACCCCCTCCAGGTGGAAGGAGTACTGGCTACCAAACAATGGCGGGTTTACCTCAACTCCGTTCTCAAAGGTTACACTGTACACAGCGTTCCCCACAGTATTACTTTCAGCCTAGACATTATCAGTTTTCAGTTATCAAATAATTTAGGGCTGTGAAACGCCCCCCCCCCCCCCCCCCCCCCCCCCCCCCTCCACTCTGCCTTGTTTAGTTAAAGAGTCAGAACAAATCAGCCGAAATATGACAAATGATGCAAAATAAGGACAAGAAAATGGAGATTTTAAGAAAAAGAGAGATTTAAAAAAAACCAGCAACTGCTATCACCTGATTATACAATATTGTTATAAAATTTGTTAAAACCAATATAAAAAATAAATGCTTAAAATTTTAAAAAATCGCAAAATTTTATATATGAAATATTTGGTTTTTTTTTTACTTTTTGTAATAGTATTAAACTAAATTAAATTTTTGGATCAATCTTACTTTCTGAATCCGCGACATGATCTCGTATGCACAGGGCGTGGTTCCAATAAAGAACCCGCCAACCCTCAGATTCTCTGATGCATTCCGCAGCATGCATTCAGCCTGTGGCAGGCTCTCGAAGCAGTAGTGGAATGCAAACTGACAGCTCACGAGGTCAAACTGGATTTCTGGATTCTGGAAACAGATAGATTAGCTCTTTAGCCTTCGTACTTTATCCCCAATAACTCAATCAATCACTCAATCAAACATTTTACGGTCGTCAAAAATTGAACAAAAACGAATCAATCTTCGTATCAAATATTTATTAAACGACCAATTTCAAACAATTCAAAAAATTACAACATGGGATTGAATTATTTACAAAAATAGGATTTTCATGATGGGACAGGTTCCACTATATCTTACTTTAGCAGTCTACTGCGTAGAGTAAATAAATAAAAGATATTATCACCTGTCCTTACTTTAGCAGAGTCTGCTGCGTAGAATAAATAAATAAAAGATTACATCACCTGGAAAAGCGTCCTAGTCCTAACTTTAGTACAGTCTGCTGCGTAGAACTCTCCACTAAATGAACGTCCACGAGACTTTTGCTAAAAGAATAGAAATTAAAAGAAATGTCAGTCAAAGCTTAAAGGCATTGCATAATATACATAGAAAAACATAATAATCAATTTATTATTCAATCAAAAAAACAGATAAACAGATAAACAGATATATTTATGTTTTTAACTTCACTATTTTATTTAAAAAAAGATTGTACTAAACAAAATGTTTCAGGTCTCACGACGATCTTCAGAAGTCCAAATTTCTTGAACAACATACAGGGTTACCCACAAATGGAGACTTCAGAGACGATTGTACGGAATTTTTTATGTTTTGTTCCTTACATTCACGATTCTCTGCATCTGTAAACTTGTTTGTTTCTTTGAAAAATCATTTAACAAGCCACCAGATTACTCTTAGGCAGAAAACCTTGGGGTCGCAATATTTCAGGTGTCTGGTCGTCTTTAGTGTCTCATCCTTTTTTGGTAACTCTGTATGTATATTTGTAAATATATTTGATATTAAATATTTCTTAAATGTTTCCACCGTAACATAAATATGTATACATAAATTTAAATTGTCCTAAAAATATGATATTTTTCCAAAATCAAAAAAGGTTTTACAGTTATCAATCAATGATAAAATCACTTACCTTCATTTTATCGTATCTGTCTTTACACTGTTCTATACTAGTCTCGGCAATATCTAGTCCAACAACATGATGGACTCTACTCCTCTCCCACTTTAGCAGGTCTCCACCTTTATAGGGACTGTAAGCGTAATTTCAAGTGACCTTCCATTTATAGAATGGCATGTCCGATTTACAACAATACCCTTTAAACCTTTGCTTGATCAAGAATTTCGTAGATATTCTCATTTATATAGCGGGAAATTAAGTTCAAAGAACCCGCGCGACTAGCACGGAGAGTACAGTGTGTTGAACGTATATCGGAAAATCCAAAAAATCAGATGTAGGAATCATAGTCTAATCTCACAGATGCGCTGGTACCAATGGTTGAAGAGTTTCTAGTCTTTATTCTTCTATTATTTATACACCGAAAAATACAATATCTTAGAAATATCAAAAAGCTGAATACATTTCATAATGAAATACAAAATAAAGATCAAATACACTGAGGTGAGTCAAAAGCTCCAAGATCTTACAAAGTTCCAATTCAACTAATTTGACTATGGTCATCCTTAAACATGGTGAACTTGAGGACTAGGAGTATGCTCCTTGTTTACAAACACAAACCGGAATATTTTAATACAGTATACAAAAGGGATGTTGCAACTTAAATATAGAATAAATGATATCCATCATCCTGCAGAAGTTATTCTCACTCAACACAGTGTACACTGTAACCTAGTGTCTCCTGGCACTCAATCCTCAGATATACAAATGAGGGTATCTAACTCATCGTTGTCCAGACAAAGGTTTAAAAGATACCGTTGTGAATCGGACATGCCACTTTTGTAAGTGGAAGGTCCCATAAAATTACGCTAACAGTCCCTTTCAGGAACAAATTTAATTTTTCATTAATACAAGAGTGCCATGAACTATTCACAAAAGAAAAGAATAAATAACATTTATCTGAACTGGACGCAGACAAATATTGGAATTGTTCTCGTTCGTATTTGATAAAAAAGTACAAGTTTCTAAACAAATCAAGGGCGGAGATATAAACTTTTAGATACCAAAAAAAGATATCTTAAAATAAAACTTGGAATAAAGGTTTAAAGAAGAATTTCAGTCCTGAATTGTAATAAAAGATGGACGGTTAAAACAAATTACACTAACCAGGCCCTTTACAAAAATTTCGACAAGGGGTAAATTTTCTTTACAATAACGAATGTAATAAAATCACCAAATCCGTGAAATCCGCGTAATAATATTAAAAGGAAATGATTTACCTTTTCCACAGCCTAGGTCCAATATGTTTAATTTGCTTGGATCTCCAAGTTTACCAATATAGTCCTGGATCAGCATAGATTTGATCCAATTGTTGAGATTTCTCATAAAGTATATTCTACTCTCAACCCTATGTTGTATACCCTTCTCCTCCAACCTAGAAAACAATACCAATAATAAACTGAAGTATATTCTACTCCCAACCCTTCTCTTCCAACCTATAAACAATACCAATAATAAACTAAAGTATATTCTACTCCCAACCCTTCTCCTCCAACCTATAAACAATATCATTTATAAACTCAAGCATATATTTTAATATCAACCCGTCTCCTCCAACCTAGAAACACTACCAATAATAAACTCAAGTATATTCAACTCCCAACCCTTCTCCTCCAACTTATAAACAATATCATTTATAAACTGAAGTATATATTTTAATCTCAACCCTTCTCCTTCAACCTAGAAAAAATGTCATTCGTAAAATCGAGTATATTCTACTCCCAACCCTTCTCTTCCAACCTAGAAACAATATCATTTTTTAACTCAAGTATATTCTACTCCCAACCCTTCTCCTCCAACCTAGAAAAAATGTCATTTATAAAATTGAGTATATTCTACTCCTAACCCTGTACTGAATGAGCGGGGGAAGGCAGACGGCCAAAAGCAACAACATTTTCCCTTCCATGCCACATATTATCTTTTTTGTCTTCCGGCAGCCATAAGCCACAACAGTTCGGTCTTCCATGCTACAACATTCGAGTCTTCCGGCAATTATTACGTTTTCAAATGGTGGACTTAATGCCTTAAAATTGCGTTTTTCTTTAACATCCAGCCACGTCTAAATAAACTCATGTTTGTTCTACTTTTACATGCAATTAATCAATATATAAAGAGGCTTTTGGCATTTTTTTTAGAATTTGACCGGCCGAAAAAACTTCCAAATTAACACAAAAAATGTCGAACAGTTCGGTTTATCAATTTTGATGTTTATTTGATAAAAAATTTCAATTTATAAAGGGAAGCAACTTACTTATTGTAGTGTGAGGCTACAGTCTGTCCTAATCCATCCTTCTTCTCTTCCCTTCCATGAGTTGCTGATCTCCATTGTCCATCTTTTAATTCAGTCATCTGAAACTAAAATAAAATAAGTAAATATACATAATTTTAGCTTAGAAACCCAGCTCTACCTGGAAACTAAGTTTTCCCCATAAAAGTCAAATTAATTTGATTTAAGGCTCAAATTTGATTTTACATTTCAGTAGTTTCACATAGAACTAGAATTATAAAGCAAAAAGCACTTTTTTCTGTATTTTGTTTGTTTGGTGATTTTGATATTAGGATCTGGATTCAGGATTCGCAAACAGAAAATGATTTTTTTTAAATCCTAGGACCTATAATCAACTGAACTTTGCTATATAAGGCATAAGTTAATTAAATATTTGAAAATAAATTTTTAGTCTAAATCAAATAATTTGATGAATCCACTTTATTTTCATCTTCTAAAAACTCTTTACTGGATAATCTTTCTTTTCTCTTTACTGAACTTATCTTCTTCACTTCATCAGATTTTATAGAACAAATTGGTCTTTTCATGTGAAGCAGGTATTTACTTCTGATCGGAAAACATTTATCACATCGATCACATTTGAAGTTAGAATTTCTGACGTGAGTAAACTCATGAATGGTTAAGACAGATCTTTGTTTAAAACTAGAAGAGCAGAATGAACATTGAAAGGGTTTCTCGTTGGTATGAGATCTCATGTGTATCTTCAACTTTCCACTTGTAGAAGATTGTATTCCGCAAACTGAACAAGGAAAAAATTAGAAAATTTTGATTAAAACAAATAAAAAACATTTGAGGTTTAAACGTTGTCAAACCTGAACATTTATGCTTTGATATTGAATGCTGAACTGTGAAATGTGCGTTGAGTGTAGAAGGAGTTCGAAAAAGATCGTGGCATTCGTCGCATTGATAAGGGCGCAGGTCGGCATGCTTGAACAGATGGAACTTCAATGCCTGTAAAATAATTGAAACTATAATATGGCAACTGAAAAAACCCAGCAGAAACAGAAATATAAGCTCTCAAGAGATAAAAGGTATCAAAATAGGTTTTAAATCATAGACTTAAAATTTATCTATATAATAAAACAAGACATTCGTATATATGTTCCCTAAAGCTGGCAAAACGGCTGCACCGAATAGGCTGATTTTTTTAGGGAACCCATGGGTGCCTCGGGGTAACATAGGCTAAACAAAATTCGAAATTTTTTTCTTCTTCAAAAATAATCTTTTTTAAAATTCGATTTTATTAATTTTAACGGGCAAAGCCGGGTCCTTCAGCTAGTTCTTAATAGAAAATATTTACAAATGTTTTGTCACCTGATTTGTTTTAAAAGTTTCGTCACAAAGTTCACAAATAACTTTAGTTTTGATTCCAAGTCTTGGCTCTTTATTAGCATGAATCATCTTGTGTTTCACAAAATGTAGAACTCCGTGAACAGATTCTTCACATTGATCACATGCAATGCTGGTATGGTAATCCGCCACATGGGTTGCCAGGCTAATCTTAGAGTAGACCTCCTCTTGACATACCGTGCACTTGTAAACCTCACTCCGAGTTCTCAAACCATCCTCGCTCGATCTTAACAAATCATAATCAACTTGAGATTAGAGTGACAACTGATTTTGTGGATTAATTTAAGCCCTTCAAAGGATATAGTGGTCTAAACATACATCAATAGAGTGTATAAACAACCAACCCCAGTTTTGTTCTCAACTTAAACGTCCAACTGTTCTACTTATAATTTTTCATGTTGCTAACATATTATAAAAATCGATCGGTGTTGAACTTGTTTTGAAATTATGCATTTGATTACAATTTTTAATTGTTGCGCGCACGCCTTATAATGCGTATTTGAATGTATAAGCCCGGACCCTGAGTATAGCTTCAGTGAGGCCTAAACCAACTATGGACGCTGATGTAGACATACTTCGATTTCTTTCTTAATAGATGACACTCGTGTAAGTATTTGTATGAAATAATTATAAAAATTGTTCTAATCAATGTTTTATTGTTGCTATATTTAAGTTTAACTCTCTCCTCCCCCTTTCTGTTAAACTGTAGGAAAATCCATCAAGTATCACAAACTAAAAAAAGAATCAAAGAAGGAACCTTTTTATATAGAGAGAGCAGTTTGAAACCGGTCATCCAAAGGATATCAATATAGTACTGATATTCCAACCAACACCCCTATTATCTACGGTATTTCCCTTTATATCAAGACTCAATCAAATTATTTTTCCAAAATCCCCGCTTCAATGTCACGACAGGTTTAAGCCGGGACAATAATTTTAGCTTTATAATTTTAAAATCCTTGGCATACAACTTTATTGAACTGCTTCAAACCTTGACCTTGTTCAGAACTAGTTATCAATCTAAATAAACATGTTTTTTTTTAAATTCGGTGATAATGATGGACCAAACAACATTTTTTTTTTAGTTCCACATTTTTTGAAAATATATTTCGGTCTGGGTTGACCCTCGTCAGTTCTAACGATATAATAACCATCAAAATCGGTAAAAAAATTAATTTTTTTTTTGTTAAAAATTAAAAGAAAAATAAACATGGTGTTAGGTTATTTCCCAAAAGAAATATCCAAGGGCGACTTCCCAAGTTACAATTTTCCAAGGGGCAACTTCCAAAATGTGCAATTTCCCAAGTGGCAACTTCCAATAGATTAAGTTAGGCCTTCTGAGGCGCCAAAGGCTGCAATGGGGCCGGGTACTGCGGCTAGGACAGAATTGGGAAGTTGCCGCTTGGGAAAATGCCTTTTGAAAAGTACCTAACATCCAAAAACATATCTTTGCAAGGTTTTTTTTTTGCTTAATTCCCCGTACCTTTCCTCCGACGGTCTTGAAATTTCCGGTCTAGTGAAACTGGTCGGATTAGACTGCAGCTCTATCAAAACAGAAATATAACTTTTTTTATTTTGTGGCCAGAAAAAAAATGAAAATTGTGATAAAAGGAAAAAAGTTGAAACAAACAATATCTGTTAGAGGGGCGGGGGGGGTGGGGAATCTCAATTAATGTGGGCGTTTATACCCCTAGTTAGATTTGTCTGTTTCCTAGAGATTTCTCCTCAGTTCCGAGTGTAAGATAATAAATCTGCCTCGGACGAGCTTTGGTTTCAGAAATAGATTCTTTTATTTGCTCAGGGCTAGTCTCCCGATTCTCATTTTCCTTCAAGATAATCTCATTCTCAGACAGGATCTGCTTTTTTAGAACCCCAGGTTGATTTTTTATAAATTCTTGCTTTCGAGTTCGATGCTTATAATTAGAAATCTTCGAATCTATTGCTTGTGGATTTTCCAGAGATTTTATGGATTTAGTAGGAGAATGATAGGGATTATATCGAGGGATTAAAGTTGTCAATCCAACAGAGAGGATCCGAGGGTTAATTGATAAATCTTGAACATTCAATGATTGGTTAGTGGGTTCATTTAAAGTTCGGATTTCAGTATTTAACGCCTGTAAGGAAGGATTGTGCGGCTTCACTAAGGAATTAGACGTTTGTAGAGAATCTTCTGCTGACTCAATACATGGTGTTATAAAACTAGTTTGCTCTGGCATATTTACATAATTTTTATTTGATGTTTTAGAAGCATCTTCTATAGTTTGTGTTGATAAATTTAATGCAAAATTACGTTGCTCATTAATATTTGCACATTTTTCGTTTGAATTTTTAGAGGCAGGTAATGCATCTGTGGGAGAATCTAAAAATCTCTCTGAAGCATCTAATACTGATATCGAGGTTGTAACATCTATTCCAAGGTCTGCCAATGCTTCCCACAACAGAACTCCCTGAATAAGCTGGTAAGTTGGTTATATTAATACTTTAGATTGAAATACTTAGTAAAAACTTCTATATCAGATAGATCTTATTATTTATTGGTTAACTTTTTAGTTTAGTATGAAGATTAAGAATTGTAGAATGGGGTGCTGATGGAGATAGAGTGGTCAGCATTAAAAATCTGCAATATAAATTTCCTGGCTTTTCTTCTGCTATTAGAATAATATGTACATATTTGTTTGAATGAAATATATTTTTTCCTATTAATTTAAAGAATCGGCTTAAAATTAAATTTATTTTATGTTTTAGGATCTTACTGTACATGATTGCGGCATGAATTAGTAGATTAATCCTGTATTTGTATAAATGTTAACTATGGCTGGCCAAACGGCTGAACCAAATAGACTTGATTTTTTTAATTCAAATTTTTTCAAATTTTTTTTGAATTCCTGGGGCAACGCCGGGCAGCTAGTCTTTAATTATATTTATGGGTTGCTTTCCCGAAGAGGGTTATACCTGCTCTCTGGATGATATCCTTGTGTACCCTGTATACAGGATATCTAGGATCTCCTCCCCAATCTCGCTGACAAGGACGAGGTCCTCCTCGAGGGAGTCCACCAGGCAATCTCTGAGGACCGGAGACAAAGCAACCAGTAGAGATCGATGACACTTCTTAGACTCCCAACCCTAGGCAACATTTAAAATTATTCCAGAGTAAAACAAGATGTTTCTTAGATCAGCTATTTATTTCTACATCGAAATCAGTGCATCGGTTCCATTCCGATTTGATGCAGATCCTTACTTGGTTTCTGAATCCATCCTGTGAAAAAATGGATCCGGTTCATAAATACCTTAAGAAATTACATGACATTTTTTTGTAATACTATCTTTTATTTACTTCATAAATACTATCTTTTAATCGATAATTGTTACCGAATTTTCCCGATCTTGCACGAGTTTTCCGAGCCGTCGACCTGCATTTGTAATTATGAACCTGGATCCAGAAAGATAATATATTGCGGATCCAATAAGTATTTGCTCTGGTATTTACTTCATAAAAATCTTTTGATATTAAAAAGGATTATAGCTAGAGTTTTTAACATTTTCCAAATAGTTCTGAAACGGTTGGATAATTTATTTATTATGTTTTCGGCTTAAATTAGATGTAAAAAAACTTTCCAGACTTTCCTCTTAACATTGAGCACATATCAAAACGTATTGTCACAAAAATTTTCACCACAAAACATATCTTTTCAAAACTTATCAAAACAAAACTTATCTAACAACAAAACTTATCAAAACAAAACTTATCTAACAACAAAACTTATCAAAACAAAACTTATCAAAACAAAACTTATCTAACAACAAAACTTATCAAAACAAAACTTATCAAAACAAAACTTATCTAACAACAAAACTTATCAAAACAAAACTTATCAAACTACAAAACTTATCAAAACAAAACTGATCAACCTAAAAAACATATCAAAATCAAAACATATTAAAATAACTACAAAATTTATTTTTCAGAATATTTTCAAACGTTGTACAACTGAAACTTTTTTTTTGAAAATTCGCGGATTTTTAAACAATTGTTGGAACATTTCCATGATTTGAAAATTTAGATTTATGAATTTTGTTGAAAAGTTTTGAGTTTGATACATTTTGTAGTTAGATAAGTTTTGTAGTTTGATATGTTTTGTGATGATAAGTTTTGTCGGTGATAAGATATGCTTTGACATGTTTTGTGGTGATAAGTTTAGTGACGATATGTTGCGCATGGGCTCCCTTAACATCACTTTCAATCCATCAATCCAATAGAAGTTCCTACCTTACTATTCTGAGAAACAAATCTATACTCGACATCACAGAAGGTTTCATCCTTCCATAAAGATTGAATATGCTTTACCAGGTCTATCGTTTCATTCTCATCCATTCTTCTGAAAAAAATGTATTTGATCAATATCACAGATTGGGTAAAAAATAACAAAATAAAAAAGAAGCAATAATGTCTCCAAGTATGAGAATTTGAGGCAGTTTGAGGATATATCTAATGATAAAGATAAAAAGGTTAACTGTATATTAATAGGAAAGGGGGGAAAGAAGAGGGAAGGAAGAATATTAATTGGAAAGGATGGATTTGAATGAAAAAAATAAAAAATGCTTATTTCAAATTTTTCAGGATTTCTTAGAAAAAGATAGATAAAAAAAATCAACTTTCAAATATGAAAGGAAAGGAATTTCTGAGATTTATTTCCCAAATATCGTTTATGTGAGTTCCAAAGCTAAAGCAGTTCCCTCCCCCTCCAACAATAATAATCTTATCTTCCTGAAAACAGAAAAATAAATTTTAAATTATTTAAGAAATAACAAAAATAGATCTACATTCTACAAACATATTATATGAAATATCTCAATTATCTATTTTAAAAAAGCGTAATTTTCCGTTTGTAAGCAAGGAAATTATGTTTATTTTGAGTAATGCAGAACAAATTTTTTTTGTCAGTAAGCTGTTCTATTGTTTATGTATATTGCATATGTTGCAAAAATATCGGATTTATTTTTGAAAAAAATCCTAGCCATCAAATAGCCTATTTTTATTTTCTGAACGTGTTCAATCCCAACTTAATTCCAAGATTTGTAATGATCAACTAGTATGTATTGCTTACACCCCAAGAAAATCTGGTTTAAGAATTGTACCTGGACAAAAGATGAATGGTTGTGAAGCATAAGAATATCAGGACTGGGTTCTCCCTTTTCTTCGGGTAGAAAGCTAGGTAGGGAGGATCGGTAGATATCTCCGGATATTAGATCAACCACGTCTAGTCCTGAATAAAAAATTGTATTTAGTAAAATGTTTCTTCTTCAGTTGGACATGATAACCTTTGTATTTATAGGTACAAGTAGTATCTACCTGGAGAATCTCTAATCCAAGCTCCACCCACCACCACCAGGAAAGTCAAGTATTATAGTATACCTGGAGAATCCCTAATCTCAACTTCTCCCACCAGGATAGTCTAGGTTTCTAAAAGAAATATATACCTGGAGAATCTCTGATCCCAACTCCTCCCACCAGGATAAGATAATTGTTCAGTACATGACTAGTATGCCCAATTCTAGGTTCTAGATTCAATCCAACCCGTTTCACAGTGATTCTATCTTCTTTTATCTAAAGTAAATTTTCCATGAAAGAATCGATTACTTGATCCTTTAAAAAATCAATTTAGAAAGAATTCATATCACAAACGTATGACTTAACTAAGAACTTAAAGCATAAAACAACAAACAAAAAAATAAGAATAAATTAAAGCGAGTAAATAAAAATAAAAATACCTGTAAAATGAATAAAGATTCTTGTATCTCTGCTAGGTTCAGGTTTCCACCAGAAACAAGGATCTTCTCCCCCCAGACAGCTAAAGAACAACTAAACAGAAAATGCATTTAAAATATGGAAAAACAAAGTTTCCTTGCAGAAAATCAAGGGATAGAAGAAAAAGAGAAAATTTTCAAGATTTTCAATGGATTTGACGATGTTGACATTTAAATTTACATTTACATTTAAATTTGTTCAAGTAACAAAGTATATTTTATTGAAAACTCATTACTTCCCCTTTAAAGCAAAATAAATCTGTGCTTAATGTGTATTCCCCCTCCCCTCCCTAACCTTAGTATTGGAAAATCTAGTTGAGCAACAAGTTTCTCTCCAGTGTTCAGGTTCATGGCGTACACATCACTGTACACTTTTTCTGTATCTCTTCCACCAACCACAACTAGATGGACAACCATCTCAATAGTTCTAACAATAGTTCTAATAATAATACTTTCAATTTATTGTTTTGATCAAATATAAGAATTATATTTTTAAATTGCCATCAGTTCAGCAATTTAGTTATTTAGAATGGTATTGTAAGTATGGTTTTAATGTATGTCCCTAAATAATCTCCGTAAACTATGGTTTGGTGTCTCCACCTCGACTCAGAAGCTGGTAGATCGGAGTTGAAGCATTCTCCTGTTTCTGGGTCTACCTCTAGTAAACCCTAAATAAATACATTAATAAAATACAAACCATTTAATCAATCAATCAACCAACCAATCCAACACTATCTTATCAACTAATCTCTGAATTAAACAAACTTTTAATTTAGATCACATAATACACCAGATTTTTAAAATATCTGTTTTCCTAACTTAATTCTATAAAATGTTGATAAAACATAATCAAAAACTGTTCTATTAACCTGGAGAGCACAGTTTGGACTTAATCTTCCTCCTAGCATCAGTAGCTTTCCTTTCCAGTCCACTAAACCACAGTACATCCTAGTTTAAATCAATCAATCAATCAATCAATCAATCAATCAACCAACCAACCAACCAATCAACCAACCAATCATCCATCCAATTNACCAACCAACCAACCAACCAACCAACCAACCAACCAACCAACCAACCAACCATCCATCCAACCAACCAACCATCCAACCAAATGCTTTTTAACTGACGTACCTTTCAAATTTCTTGTCCTTGAACTCCTTGAGTCCACGAATTTTACCTTCCTCAAAACTAAATCTGATCAGAGATCCTAAAATATATAACACTAATTATGAAATATAATTTAAAACAATATTTTGAGTAGCTGATTACAGATTTCTAATTACCCATTCGTCTGTGATTTTTATCCTGTACACCGAACCCTCCAACCATGTACAGTCCGTTTGGAGTACTGCAGAAACTGTGACCAAACCTGATTTGAAATTATTGTTCACATTTAGTTTTTATGATTTACACTTGTTCTTGATTACGTTTTAAAGTTGCACTGTTACTGTTTCAAAATTAACAAAATTTAGGTTAATGGAGAATATGAACCCATTTCCTGGATATACTATCATGGCTGTGCCTACCTGAGAAAACTCTGATTAGAGTCTAGAACTTGAATAGATAGTTCTATATCCGGATGGGTATGATCAGGTTGGGTCAGTTGACGAACCGAACCTGTTCCGTGAACTAGGTTACATGTTCCCTACAATATATCAAACTTTAATGTGTTTGATCAGAAAAATTAAAAGTTTGGGGTAAAATTGACTGTATTCATCAATGCTAAGAAGTTTCAAGTGAACACTTAATGCCTCGAACTATGATTTTCACTTCTCTATATGTTTGCATTGGTGCAAAACTTTTTTTTGACTAATCAAATCAAATCAAATCAAATCAAATCAAATCAAATCAAATCAAATCAAATCAAATCAAATCAAATCATATCAAATCAAATCAAATCTCAAATCTCAAATCAAATCTCAAATCAAATCTCAAATCAAATCTCAAATCAAATCTCAAATCAAATCTCAAATCAAATCTCAAATCAAATCTCAAATCAAATCTCAAATCAAATCTCAAATCAAATCAAGTTTAAATCAAGTTTAAATCTGAAGGGAGGAATCAGAAAACAGGAGGAATGTAATACAACAAGTGATTGTTAAGACGAAATCATGCCACCTCTTTAAACTATGAATTGCTGAATAATATTTAGTAAAGAATAAAAAGGGTGTCTTTAAAATGCAAAAAGAGTCATAAGACTTTTAAATGAAATCATTTCTCTAGTTTAATACCTTAGTAGCTACCAGTACAAAGTAATGACTAGATTTGAGAATGAACTCCTCAAACTCATCGAACATCTCGATCTTGTTCAGTCTGCTCTTCTCCTCAGGGGACAGGTTAAAGTAAACCTCCGCCAGGGTGTATACCTAGGTAAGAAATGGTTTAGATACATTACGAAGAATGACTTTCTTGGATATTCATCTTTTCAGGCCCATCAAATTCATTTAATTTTCGAAATGAATTTTCAAGAAAGCAAAAATCATTCCAAACGGATAAATTTGAAGTCAGAGTCGCAGCTATAGATCATAGCAAAATAATTCATATTTTCCTTCCTGACAATTTATTATTTCAATCGTTGTATCTATTTTAACTAGAAATTGTATTGTTTCACTAAAAATGAGTCTGCATTCCCTTTAAGAGTCAATCTAGACCCTGTGAATCAGACAATAAATGATAATTGGTGGCTTAGCACTCTTATTTATAGATTCAATATTAATAAAATATTGATTTTAAACACCAGCTCTTAATTTACCTTGCATTTCTCCCAGCCCGCCGTTAAATATCTGTCAATCTGATCCTCCGTCGACGTAAACCGCCGAATCCCATGAATCGGCGATTCGATTTTATCAAAATGTTTCACCATAAATGCACCAAAACCGTCCGAAGGCCGACATTGCTCGTAGACGAAAAAAGCTGCATTTTCCAGGTTTCCCGAGAGAAAGGCGACAAGACTGGTTGAATCCTTCTCCGACATGTAGGTTATCACACACTCGGAGAGAACAAGAGTTGGTATATGAAAACCAAACCCATATTTGTCCAGGCATTTTCTTAGGGTTTCTGAATCCGATAAATCACAGGCAAATAGTTTGTAATTCTCCGAGATAAGACTGTTTTCATCTAAACTCGAACTAATTAGAAACTGTGAATTCAAGCCTGGCTGCGGACAACATTTATCACTTGTTTTAATTAATTGACACTTGCGTGTAACATTAGAAGGAAGATCAATCTCGAAAAATGTCATATTTTGCGGTTTAAATTTTTTGTTCACAGTAAAATATGTTGTATCGAATCCGGCTCCGACTGATAAAACTTGGAATGGTTCATCCTTCTTCGAATAATATTTAACTGCTCGTTCGAATGTTAATTCCAACGATTTATTTCGAATATAATATCCATGATTAATTAAAGGGGCTCGAGCTCGAGGCTTGCTCACAAACTCCTCGAGAAATGCATCCTCAAAATATCCCATTTTAGCGGCTGAAAGCTTCGAAACGATTGAATAATCGTTTGTGCCTTCGACCCGCGTCATTTTATGTCTGAAAATTTACAATGAAAGATGAAATCGAACAAATATTTATATTATCACAGAATTGGAAAATAATTTCTAATTAATAAATACATAGTTCTAATTAAAACATTAGAGAAAAAACAACCGCAGCGTGACTTAAAACGAAGTAAACCCTGTATGTTTATTGTAAAAAATATTTCTTTGCAGCTTTAATTTCAATGTTGAAACTTGACGATTACAGACATGTCTTTCATATTTCAATCCAGGATGATAAAGGTTCAGCAAGATCTTACATTTAGAAAAGGGATCTGGTATAAAATTTTATAAATTGGAGACAGGTCGCTGAACTATCTACCGGCGGTTCAAGAATCTTTTAAGTGCTCTTTGACTTAAATCTTGAATGACCGATTCACAGTTAAATTAAAAGATCTCTACGTAGTTCAACGACTTCTTGCTAATCATTAAAAGGAGTGACCGACAATGTTCATAAACATCTAATTGGATTATAAAGATTGAATTTGCACTCTTGCTGAACAAATATGCACCGTAAAAACATCTCAAAGGTCTCAAATGATACCTAAAAAATTTCTCCACAATGCTCAGTTCAACTACCATACATTGCCGGTCACTCCCTTTAAATATGGTCCCAGTTCTGTTACTAGGATGATCCTAGTTCCGGGGTAATGTTGAAGATAATAATAATAGAAATATCTGAAAAGGAAACCGACATTTCTCCACTTAGAGGAAAACATGTTTGACAGATTTGAGGGTTTATGCTTTCCAGGCGGAGAGAGGATCAATCCTTTTACTAGAATTAGATTCAGGAAACCAGAGCTTAATCTCTCGTTCTGCAGAATCCAAAGAATCAGAAACATGACACAGGTTCATCTGTTTACTCACTCCAAGATCACCTCTAAATATTTTTATTGTTATTTTTTTTCTAAATAAAAAAATTATTTGAATTTAGTTTAACATTTTCAAATGAACTTATCATTTGTTATTTTAATATCTTTTTTTTAGAACTGTAAATAGTCTAATTTTATTTTGGAAACAGAATTATTTGAAAATAAATGTAGAAAATGTAGCTAACACATGGTTTCAAAACTATTTAGTAAATAGGACTCAATATGTTTGTTTAAATGGTATTTTTTCTAACGAAAAAACTATTTTATGTGGTGTTCCTCAGGGAAGTGTTCTTGGGTCCCTACTTTTTCTCATTATTGTGATTTTTTTATTTGTATTATCTCGTGCTTTGTAGTTGAATAAAAATATGAAATATGAATATGAACCTGATAGTTCCTGGTAGACTCTCTAATGGATCAGTTGCACCCAACATCCTTCTAAATACAGGGGTAAATATTTATAACAAAATTAAATAAAATTATTATTGGTGATTTTATGACCCCCCTCCCAAAAAAAAAAGTTTTTAGAGCTGCGTCATAGTAAAATGCGTATGAATCTATCCTTATCCTTGGTCAATTTCAATAATAAGTTACAAAGTTTTTAGGATTTAGATAACTTGATACAAATTAACATTTCTTGGCATATCTTAAGGGCAATTATTCTCATAATGGTCCCACCGGGACTACTAAGAATCACCACAGATAATCAAAACAACGTGAAAATATTCTTGCACATAAAAAACATATCATCACAACACATTTCCCAACGAGAAATCAAAATATATCTTCTACAAAACATAACGTCACAAAGCAAATTAAACACAATACACCCCATCAAAGTACAAAACATATTAAATACAAATATACCAAACAATAAAATTCTTAGATAATTATGTTTTGTATGTGCTCCGAAAAAGTTTAAGCAGGTCTTTTTTCTTATTCATTCCCTTCAGGAGACAATTACCTGGAGATAGTAATAATATTCTTCCCTCGCCACACCATAGGTACAACTGGACCACTCACCATGTAATCTAACAATCCAGGAAAAAATGATTTGCCGGTATGCTCTATAAAAGAATTGTCTTCCTTTTGAATATAGTTCAGAACAGAAACCTTTTCTTCTTTTAACTTTATTTCTAATTCTTTAAATGCCTTTCCCAATCCTTCTTTAAATGAATTTCCATATCCTTCTTTATATGCCTTTCCCAATCCTTCTTTATATGCCTTTCCCAATCCTTCTTTATATTGCTTTCCCAATCCTTCTTTATATTGCCTTTCCCAATCCTTCTTTATGTTGCTTTCCCAATCCTTCTTTATATTGCTTTCCCAATCCTTCTTTATATGCCTTTCCCAATCCTTCTTTATATGCCTTTGCCGATCCTTCTTTATGTTGCTTTCCCAATCCTTCTTTATGCTGCTTTCCCAATCCTTCTTTATATGCCTTTCCCAATCCTTCTTTATATTCCTTTCCCAATCCTTCTTTATGTTGCTTTCCCAATCCTTCTTTATATTCCTTTCCCAATCCTTCTTTATGTTGCTTTCCCAATCCTTCTTTATATGCCAATCCTTCTTTATATTCCTTTCCCAATCCTTCTTTATGTTGCTTTCCCAATCCTTCTTTATATGCCTTTCTCAATCCTTCTTTACTATGCCTTTCTCAATCCTGAATTATTTGTTGTTTCACCCTGACTATTGATTCCTGATAAATTGATAGAAGAATGTGTTTAAACCTACCCTGATAATGTTCCTCCAGGACGGATCTTTCTGCTTGGACCATTTTCATCTCAAGGAGAGTAAATCCTTTCTTTTCAAACCTCTGGATCAATTCTCCAACCAGACCACGGTTCACGGTATCCGGTTTCAACATTATCAAACATTTCTCCGCATCCTCTTTCTCTCTGTCTGCCGTGTTTACGCTGCAAGATTCATCCGCCGCGTAGGAGGAGATTGTGATTAAAGCAAGGAAAAACGCGAGAAAAATCATCTGAAATCATCGAAATTTGTTTGTGAAAATACTGTTTAAATTTGTGCGATGTAGGACGGAGTAAATTTTATCCCTAAACTAGAAACTAATGTCTATTTTCCATTCTTCTGTCTCCGCCACAGTTTTGGTGACAACGAGGAGTAACTGTTTATCCTGGTTCTCCAACTCCATCCTCAGGAACTTAAGGAACTCCAGCTCCGATCCAATCCTCAGAGGTTTCTTTAATTTAGAGTCCAGGTTGTAGTAAGCTCCGTTTATTAGTTTCAGGGCTATCCAATGCTTTCGGCGGAAGGGAAGGTGTAACCATCCGACTTTGTACTCGTTCGGAATATTCAAAATAAATCCGATAATTTTATCTAAAATCAAACCGAAATATTTAAATAAATTAAATAAAATCTTGCCCATATAAAATAAGAACAACTCTATGTTTGTTTAAATTAAACTACGAATCAGTTTTATGTTTTAATTTCAATCAGGTATGTCTGGTTTGCCTAATCTTATTGTGTTCGGATCTTTTCTTCTGTCAAACCAAATTATATCACATTGTTTATCAAGTAAAGCTGCTGTAACAACATTTACATCATAGTTACCCAAACCTAAATCAATCAATCAATCAATCAATCATCCAACCAACCAATCAATTTAGAAAGGGAACCCAAAGCATCATAGAAAACTAGTAAAAATATGTATCGGAACACATTTTCTAATCGCTGAATTTGAACGAAAGAAGAAAAAACGATTTTGGGGAAGTAATTGATATCATAAATGAGCTATCAGCCTTGTGGGCGAAACAGTGGCTTAAGGAGTTATCTCATACTTCGGTAGCAATTAACTTAATTATCGACATGGGATACGAATTACATTTAATGTGTAGTATCTACCTATAACAGATTTATGAGGGTTAAGCCAAGCATCTGGGGAAAGTTTGTAACATAAGGAATCCAACTCTCTCTAAACCATAAACAAATCTTTGAACAAGAGTTTATTAATATATTCTTACTTCTTGAAATACAAAACAACCGTTGAAGAGATTGTAAGCGTAATTCCAAGTGAGCTTTCATTTAAAGAGAAGCGTTCTCGATTCAGAAAAATATACACCCCAATGGAGGGTCACTTGAAATTACGCTTGCAGTCCCTTTATGGAAGAAAATGGATGAGAAAAGCTTACCCAGGTCCCAGGTTTGATTATCCTCAACGAAAGAATAAGACTAAATTATCTCATGTTCGATTAATATCACCATTCAGGAAAAGAGTAAATTGTTACTGAAGATCCTTTTATCTCTTCTTATTAGGTTTTGATACAACCACCGTCGCTTTACAAGCATAACTAACCTGTGTAAAGGCAGATTTATCCTGGAAAATATTATTAAGCGCGTGAAGCGCGCACAGTTCCTTACTCTGGCGCTCGTGATATATTTCATTCATCTGAAAACATTTATTATTCATTTATTCACATAGTTTCTAGGGGTTAAATACATCACAAGAACTTATTTCTTAGATTCAACGGTGGTTTCCTTCTTCCCTTCCTTCTCTGTCTTCTCATCCTTCTTCTCCTTCAACTCCTCCTTTTTCCCTTCCTTCTTCTCCGCTTCCTTGTTGGCCAGCTTGTTGTTAATCAGATTGTGTAGAGCAATAACAGACCTTGAAATAAGATAATGACATTGCAGTTTTGTTGTAATGATTGAATTCTTTAAATATTTTTTGAAAGTTTATCGTTTTACTCATTTTTTTTGTTTGTTTATTTTTTATTCATTCTTTGACATTTTTTATTATTCATTATTTTTTCTTCTTTTTTTGCCATATTCCATATATTATACATTATTATATATACGTACAATAATCATATATACATAAGCAATATAAGATGTTTATGTTTACGATATACCCATCTAACCTGATAACTGAGGCGATGTACATGACAAGCATCTGGTCGTTGGTGTTAACCTGGAGGGAACGGACAAAGTTGGGGTTCGTCACGTCAGGAAGAAGATTGAAAATGTCCTGACACAAATATTTGTTAAAATATGTTTTTGTAATATTCAAGATCCAGATCCAAGTATCATTTAAAATGTAAAGAATAATTTAAAAACAAGACTCCGAAGCTTTGATCAATGAAAAGATCGGTTAAACTAAGGAGTTCTCAGGTTTCAGCAAAAGAATAAAAAATATCGAAAAATATCTGTTAGAAAAAGAATGAAATTAGAAATATTTTTTTTATTTATCTGAATCCTGTTTTCTAATGTTTATTGTATCTATGAACGATTTTGGGTTGTTTATATTTATTTAAAACTTGAAATCAATGTTAACTGAGACCTTTTAACTACAACTTTGATAAAAACATCAGCTTGCAAGAGAAACAACTGAACATTAAACAATTCAAACAATTAAAAAAATGTCACTCTATTTTACTTTACCTGAAGATGATAGGTTATCTCGTGGTTCATCGGTAGTTCTCCCATAGCAACCTTCTCCAGGTAGTTCCTCATATCCTGCAGCTTCTGGTTTAATCCCTTCAATCCCATCAGCTGGTTGGTAATCCTCTGACTCAAGGTACCAACTGTAGTGTCCTTTACATCTCTACAAATGGAAAATATGAAAATATCATTATATCTCAACATTTTACCAACAGAGAGACATTTACGTTTTTACTATTTTGGTAGTACTGCAATTCCACTGAAATCAAGAAAAAAGCGTATTAGAAAAAATACTATCGTTGTATTTCCTAGTGACCCTAAATTCACAACGGTTCCCTTTGTATCTCTATCTAATTAATACTGCTTTTTTTTGTTAAATTCAGACAAAATGGATATTTTAGTCATTTTTTATCACTAGATTTTAAGGGTACCGTTGTGAATCTAGTTACTTAAAAGTAAACAATACATTCAAGATTAATTTGGAAGGAGAATGAGAAAGGTTTACCTGAGAAGATGTTCTACTCCGACCTCCTCAGCTTCCTCAGCTCCGATCTCCGTGGCGACATGTTCAAAGGTTTTGTTTGTCGGAGTTCCGTCGTCATGGATCTCTTCAACAACTTTGTACGCTTCAGTCGGTAGTCCTGAACAAAAGTATATCTACAGCTATAAACAAAAAATCGAATTTTATTTTTTTTCAAAATCGAAATTTTTTCTTCATCAAAATTCATTTATTAAAAAATTCACGGGCAACGCTGGGTACTTCAGCTATTAATCAATATAAGTTCTATAGCTGTAGACATCAGAATATCCGACACAAGTTATTGGATTTTATGATATTCTAGAAAAATCATTTTATTAATAATATCAAATCAAGTGCTGAGTAAGAGCCTCTGGGAAAATGAATGATATTTTTGGACTTGTAAGATAAAGTTCATCAATAAGTCTTAAAATGAAAATTGACAGAGGAAATTTTTGTATGTTAATAATAAGGTTACCTATTCTAGTAGGTTTTGGGTCAATAATGACGAGGACAGATTGTTGGCAGTACTTCCTTATCAGATCATTGATCAGAATATCGTTCTGATGAAGCTTAGGTCCGGTGTGGTACCAGCCAACGATCCGCTCCTTAGCATTGACTTTCTTGAACATGTGGTACATGCACTCCAAGTACTCGTGGTCGAGGAACCACACATCACGGTCCTTGTCGTCCTCGTCGAAAGGAACGGCGAAACTGTTTGCTATATCAAGCACACCCCTAAAAATAATCAGAACAATATGTAGTAAATACGAGAGGTACATGCTTACCACAGCCCCCTCCCCTCTCTCTCAATTGCTCAATTCTGGCATTGAAGATTACAAGATTTTTTGACGCAGGAGAATTAGTATTTTGAGAAAAACAGGAAAAAGTAAATAGTATTTGAAAATTCATAAGGTAAGGTTCATCAAGTCTGCCCTTTTAAAACCCCTCTCAATAATTGCAAAAACACTTAGTAAGAGTTATTACTTTGATGTCCAGTTTCCTAAGAGAACTCCAACAACCCTTTTCTGGTTTCCAATCTTCCCCATCCGGTTGAAGTGGTCCACCACGGACAACAGGACCAAGGGGTGAACCACAACCTTCTCCAAATGAACGTCAGGAAGCACCATATTTATCTATAAGAAAAGTCTAACTTTAACATCGTTGTCAGAGAATCGAATCTCAACAAAATTTTCAATAGAGAAACAAAATTAAAAACAGATGAAGCGCCTCAAATACTTAATAAGCAATATTTATAACAATATTGGTATAAAAGTAGTGAAGTGAAGAATGATGTGACTTTTTACGATATTTTTCTATTAAAAATAAAATGACAAGCAAATCTATTGCGCGGATGCCCCGTTTGAGTTTGTATTTACCGGTGTCGTCGTCTTCGATATATTAAATAGAAGACGACTTAAACTGTAGATTTAAATTAGATATTACCGCGGCATTGTCAATAAACTGCGCGTACTTTATGATTTTTTTTAGAAAATTTAAGATTTTACTTGCTGAAGTTTGAAGCTAGAGAACAAGTTATTTGATATTCAATTCACTTGAACGACCACTGGGATTCTACTGAATCGAACTGATTTTCAAATAATTAAACTCTGTTTCAATTAAAATCCGTATTTCATCATGTTAAGTTCTGTTTTGTGTTTCAGTTATATTCTACGACGGCACTTAATTTTAATTTAGATAAATAAGGATATTTCCGTCATTTTCGGTCAGCTAAAGGCTAGAAGTGCATCATTGTTAATGCCATTGCTACAAGTTAGATATTTATAAAGGCATTTTACTTCCAATATTTCCTTCAAATGATGGGATTGAAAGCTATTTGGGCGGTTTTATTTTAAGGATCAAGTCATTATTATTTATTCTTGTTCATATTTGATCTATGAAAGCAGTTTCAGATCATATCCTTTGTCTTCATTCTTGTTAAAACTTTTTCTATGATAATAGTTTCAGATTACGTTCTTCATTCTTGTTTGTATTTGATCTATGATAATAATATCAGATCGCGCCCTTAGTCTTCATCCTTGTTTGAATTTGATCTATGATAATATTTTCAGATGAGTGTACCCGGAGTGGATTCTCCTGGTGCAGGTGAAATAGCGGAGTATCATCTAACCTGGAACAATTATAATTCATCACTCATCTCTTTCCTTAAACACATCACTCCAATACAGGCAAGTACTCGTTGTTAAAATATTAAAAAAATCAAGTTATTTGTATCTTATTCGTGTGATTAAAATTTTTAAATGTTTTTAAGACGATCGGAGTCATTATTAAACTGAAGTATTTTGAAATTGATTAAAAACATAGGTGACAGTCCAAACTTTGAATCCTGCAATTTGTAGATAAATTAACATTGCTCCCATAGAATTTCTCATTTAAGACAGAAGAAAAGTATTTTTTAGTTTTGACATCTTTATTCTAGGACTTTGACAGTAGTCTCTCTGACGTGACTTTGTCTTGCGCCGGCCAAAAGAATTTCCAGGTACTGTTTAGTAATAAACTCATTGTAAGGGATTTCTATTAATTAAACTTTGTTTGCTAGCCTTATTTTTTCTTATGAATGTCAAAACAGCAGAACCGAAAGGGCCTAAATTTTCTTAAGGGTGTCACATGACCCCAGAGGGAAGGGATATGGCTGTAATAAGAAAAGATAGATGGATAGATCGATATAGTTTATTGCTTAAATATATGTATCTGTTTACAAAATGAGTTTACATTTTCAAATTGATAATTAATTGATAATTATTTAACATTAAAAGTATAAAGCAAATAAGTGGAATATAGATCTTGGCTGTATTGATTATTTTTTTCCACCTAATTTCAATAATAATAACAAAACTTCAATTACATAGATTTGAAGAGGATTATTGAAGAGAGGTGATTTTTTTATTGAAAAGGGGATGGTGGAGTTGGCACATTTGATGTAAGGGGGGGGCCCTGCCTCCATTTATGGTTCAAATCTTCCAATTTTTTGGATGCACGCCTAATTAGTGATCGAAATTCATAAAATAAAATCAAATTGAATTTGAATGACCTCTAATGACCTCCACAAATAGAAAATATTTCAACTATGGCTTTATGCATATCAAACGAAAGCTAGGAACCCAGGGAATACAGTAGCAGCAACAAATTCATTGTTTGACCTTCTAATGACCTCTTACGACCTCTAATGACCTAAATGACCTCCGAAATTGAAAATGTTTTAACTATGGCTTTATGCATATCAAACGAAAGCTAGGAACCCCAGGAATACAGTAGCAGCAACAAATCCAGTGTTGCTGGGATTTTTAAAATCTTAAATTATAACATGATTGAGATGTGTTTAACCCCCTGGAAGCCTAGTCTAATCATCCCTCTTTGTTTTGATTAACAAATATTTTCTTTAGGCACATCGTCTCGTGTTGGTGACCTGCTCCACTTACTTCCGTCATATCTTCCTGAGCAAAGGAATGGTTGGAGATAAGAGCTCCTGTCCTGGTCATCCCATCGTATACATCCCGGATCTATCCGAGGAAGTTCTAGAGCTGATCCTAGGTTTTATGTACAAGGGAGAGATAACTGTACCCTCACATCTCATCATTCCTCTGATGGAGGCAGCTCGGCTTCTAGGAGTTCAAGGTAATTTATCACCTTAAACAAGGAATCTACCACCCTAAACTAGGAATTTATCACCTTGAACTAGGAATTTATCACCTTAAACTAGGAATCTACCACCTTAAGCTAGGAATTTATAACCTTGAACTAGGAATTTACCACCTTAAACTAGGAATTTACCACCTTAAACTAGGAATTTATCATCTTAAACTATGAATTTATCATGTTAAATTAGGAATTTACCACCTTAAACTAGGAATTTATCGCCATAAACTAGAAATTTATCATCTCAAACTAGGAATTTATCACCTTAAATTAGGAATTTACCACCTTAGACAAGGAATTTATCACCTTAAACTAAGAATTTATTACTTTAAACTAGGAATTTATCACCTTAAATTAGGAATTTACCACCTTAGACAAGGAATTTATTGCCATAAACTAGGAATCTACCACCTTAAACTAGGAATTTATCACCTTAAATTAGGAATTTACCACCTTAGACAAGGAATTTATCACCTTAAACTAGGAATTTATTACCTTAAACTAGGAATTTATCACCTTAAATTAGGAATTTACCACCTTAGACAAGGAATTTATCACCTTAAACTAGGAATTTATCACCTTAAACTAGGAATTTATCAGCTTGAACTAGAAATTTGTCATCTTAAACTTGGAATTTATTACCTTAAACTAGGAATTTATCACCTTAAATTAGGAATTTACCATCTTAGACAAGGAATTTATCACCTTAAACTAGGAATTTATCACCTTAAACTAGGAATTTATCAGCTTGAACTAGAAATTTGTCATCTTAAACTAGGAATTTATCTCCTTAAACTAGTATTTTATCTCCGTAAACGAGGAATTTATCCCCCTAAACTAGGAATTTATCACCTTAAACATTAAGATTTTATGAAATAATTTTTCGGTGAAAAAAGTAATATATTTGAAGTTTTTTGTTTAACAAATATTTGGTTAAAAATTTTTGATCATTTTTTTGGTACAATATACGTAGATTAGCGTCATCCTACACACAAGTTTACACCTCTATAGTTGTGAATGAATACAATATAATTGACGTGATTCACTAATTGTAGATTTTAGCAATTTTGACCAACCCGTTCTTTATTGTTTATGGAGTTTGTTGTTAAATATGTCATTTACCCTGGTAAGAATTAGCACCAATGGAAATTAAAACCTTCAAAGGATTTAAATCTTAGATTTTATTTCTTAGGGTAAATGCCATTCCTTAGTAAAGATATGGTTTAAACATGGACCTGTGTAAATAAAGGATTAAATGAAAATTGTGGTTACCAAAACCAACCTTATATAAAGGAAGGAAATATTTAACAATAAAAACTTTCAGGTTTAACAGAACCTTCCGACTCCTCATCCTCCTCTGACTCCCTAACATCTCCAAAGTCTGGAGCACCAGAGTACCAAGAGAACCATGGAAGCAATGGGAACATGGAGAACCTAACGGAGGATCCGGAGCACAGTAACAACCTGGTCATTGACACCAAGCACGACTCGGAGCCGGAGGATCTCAGTCAGACCGACTCAGAGGAATCTGATCGGAGATCTTCTAAACTTGATTTCTCGTCCTTCAACGGCGATCATAATCTCCAGGTATGATATCGTGATCGTTTGAGCCACTGAGTAAATTTTTCTTATATAAAATACAGTGCTTAGGATCTGGATTCATTGGATCCGCAACATTTTTGCTTCCTGGATCCGGATCCAAGTGGCATAATACCAACCAAACCCTGATTAAAACTTACTTTTTCTCTCACCACACAAATATCCATTGTTCACTACTGACTAATTATTAAAACATTGAAGTCTCTGTTAAGTATTAAAATAAGCGAAAAAAATTAGATAAATATATCTTAAGAAAATGTTTATGACCTGGACATAGGATCCGGATCAGCATCAAAATGAAATGGATCCTAAGCACCGCGGACTAAAATGTATGATATTCTTTTTATTTAGGTAACGTCCCCAGATTCTACCAAGTCCTTATTTCCTAAATCCAGTTTTCCAACACTCACTCCTCTACCATCTCCTCTTGCTCTTACTGCAGGATTGAACCTTACTCCAACCAGAGGATATCCGACATCTTCCAGCAGAAGGTGGAGTCAATATTCATTGCATATTAGTTTTAGACTTAGTTTTTTACAGGTCAAATATTGGATTTGACCGTCATTACCATTACCTTTAACTTGGTTTTTATCTTAATTTTGATCTTGTGTTTTAATCTTGGTTTTGTTAAAGATCTAGTAAGAGCCCACGTCTTCTCTCGCCCAGTTCTACAAGCGCTGCGTTCTCCGGAGACAAGATTCGCTCCTACCAAGATGCATCTCGATCCTACCCAGATATGTCTCGATCCTATACAACTGCATTTGATCCTACACGTCAGTATACTGGAACTCAGGATCCTTCTCGACCGTTCGCCTGCTCTATTTGCCCTAAAAGGTTTAGAATGAAACATCATTTAAAGGTAAAGTTAAAATTCTACTTTTATATATTTGTTCGAAAAATCATTTGCAGCTCAGATATTAGATATGTTAAGCCGAGGAAAATAAATGTTTTTTTAGGGGAAAATAATTTTTTTTAGGGGAAAAAATTTATTAAGGTTAAAAATAATTTTTTTTGGGGAAAATTAATTTTTATAGTGGAAAATTGATTTTTTTACCGGAAAATTAATTTGTTAAGGGGAAAACATTTTTTAAGGGGAAAATTAATTATTTTTTAGTGAAAAATTATTGTTTTTTGGGGAATATAAATGAATTTTTGACTACAAAGTTTCAAAAGGGTGGACAAATTTGCTAATATATGTCTTGTATTTTATTTCACTTTCCTCCAGTCTTCAAAATATATATATCCTTATGAAGATCTATTAAAAGTAGCTAAAAATAGGGTAATCTTTTTTAAAAAATTTATATTTTATGAACCTATTTCTTTTTCAGGAGCATAATTTAATCCACAGTGGTGAGATGCCCTTCTCTTGCCATCTCTGTCCTAAACGGTTTAATAGAAGTTATACTTTGAAGAATCATATGAAGCTTCACTCTACTTCTCAAAACGGTTTACAGGTATAAAATCCCTCTTAGCAGTATCCGAAATATTAACTCACATCGTTATGAGCAAATACAGTTAAATCCATTAATCTGTGGAAAAAAACGAAGTTATGGCCTTTAACAGTCGAATAAACATGAAACACGACAATTGTTCAATGTTCAGTGTACAATGGACTATGCTACTAGTAAAATATTAATTACATCAAATACATCAACATAAAGATCGTCTTTGTTTCCACAGTTTTATGGGTCTCACTGTATAGAAGTAAAGCCTGAAGATATGAATATTATTTTTAGGAAGGTGTTGTAAATCCTGGTCTTATTATCCCTCTCCTCTCCCAACCTCCGTCCTTTCCATGATTTTTTGCAACCTAGTCGGTTCTAAACCGACACCAGTCAGATATTACTCAGTCGTAGAATTACACAGCGTGTTTTAAACACGTTTTATTTCCGCGTACAAGACAGTGTTTTAAACACAATAAAACCGCCTACTGCATGTGTTTTGAACACAATAAAATGATGTTGGTATTGTTGTGACCAGTGATTATTTGATAATTAGTTTTTACGCGTTAGAATCTCTTAAGCTTTAATCATATTCTAATATTAATGGACCTAGTTGTAAAAATAAAAGCTAGTAAATGAAAATATAAAGTATCTATTAAATCATTTGTGCACTATTTAATATATGTCAAGAAAGTGCAAGTCGTTTTTTTGACATTTCCGATTCTCAAGCCCAAAGTCCTCCATTTTGCCAAGTAAAGTAGAGTTTGGAATCATGACTTCCTTTATTGTAATTAATTAGAAAAAAGTATTTGTGTCGTTTTCTTGCTAATTCTCACACTGTAGGTGTTACAGGTGTTAGTTTTGTATACTTAGGTTAACAGTATACTATGTATTAAATATTGATCCTATATCAAATATCTATTCTCAATTCATACGTTGAAAACCCGAAGTAAATTGTTAACAGGGCATTATGGTAATACCAAAATAATATTTTCTCTTTTTAAAACAGAAATCAAAAATCAAAAAAAATCGGCTTACTTCACTTCCACTATACAAGGGTATTTTTTGTCGTCCTTGTTATCTTAAGCAGAGCTCTCAGTTCATAAAACTTTTTTATTACTCTAAACAAAACTGGTAATAGTTTTAAGATAATGAGAATAATAATCATTTAACCCGTAGTGCAGTTAACATTCCAGTTGATAGCTGAGCTACAGTGGGACTCATAAAGTTGTGGAATGGGAAGATGACTAAAAGGTTATTGTTAATAGTGCAATGAACATAAAACACAGTAATTGTGCAGTGTAAAACAGTTTGCTTTATGAATTGAAATTATATCAGATTACTTCAATGTCGTCGTCCTGTTCCTCAGTTTTATGGTTATCACTGTACTTCAGTCATTACTGACAAAACATATTGTCAAATATTGCCTATTTACTTAGTGATTTTATATTTATCTCGTTAAAGTTATTTTATCTAACTCAATGTAAATTTTTTATTTTGACTCTTTGTTATTTATTGTCATAGTTTTTTGTCTTCCTTTTGTAACAAGTACTGGTGAATTAATATGATGATTTGTAATATTAGACGATTAGTCAATAACTTTAATCTTCTGACTGGCGCTGTCTCGTGAATTAATAATCCGTAAAGTAACTTACATGATTAAATTGGGCATTTAAAATGGCAGCTAACTTTATGTCTTATTCTGTGATTATGTTGATTTTAGTATGTGATTTTTAGTGATTTTGTGGATTAATTGAAAGAGGCATTATTGACAAAATTGGCATTGATTTTATCAGGGGTGTATATTATTCCAATTTTTAATATTTCCCCCACCCCCCTCTGAAATTTGATACATCTCAATAAGTCAGACTTTAAAATAGAAAAAAAGATCGACGGCCTAAAAATGGGAAATAATATGTAAATATACTAATACACTTCACATCAATTCTAATGGTATAACTTCGCAAAAATTTATTATTTAAACCTTTTTTAAACATGCTATCTCAATTTGAGTAAAAAATGTCCTCATTCATTTAAAAGAAACCAAATTATTTCTTTAAAAAATTATTTCACTCAAAACTCTTTTATGAGCAATAAAGATATGCAGGCGCCAATATGTTCGTTCTCCTATCTGGTAAGGTAGACTAAAATATAGTAATTATTCTAGAATTTTAACTTATAACTATGCAACTTGTTGACTTCATTTTAATAAAATTTAAAATAAGTAGAATTCTTTTCAAATAAAGGGATATGCCTTTATTTCAAATTTTCTCCGTTTAAGGGACTGTGAGCATTAATTCAAGTGAACCTTTATGCAAAGAGAGGAATTCCCGATTCACAACGGTACCCAGTAAACCTTAATCTGATGAATAATGTGGAAGAAAATGTCGTTTTCTGATTTAATAAGCGTTTAATTCTGATGATTTCTCCATCGTTTCTGAATCAAGAAAGCGTAAGTCACAAATGGAAACAGTTGTCATAGAAAAAATCATCTAATCTATCTAATTCATACTTGGTCAGTAAAGCCTTTAGGGGTGCCATTTTGAATTGTACATGTCACGATCGATAGAAGGTCACATGAAATGACGGTTACAGTACCTTTGACAGTAAAAAGCTTTTATTAAACAATCCCTTCATTTGTGAAGCCTGGTTTATAAAATAAACTTGTTATTTTTTGTTTTTTAATATTTCTTCAGCTTGGTAGATACTAGGCTTTACTTTTCCTAATTGCAGATTACTATGGTTTAAAAACTACAAGACCAAAACAAACATGAGTATGAGAAAGAGGAGCGGATCGGGGTGAGATAGATGTTTTTGTCCTTTTTGAAATATATCTATATTCATTTTCTTTTTCTGCCATAACACTTAATCTTAAAATTTTTTTTTCTAAAGTTAGCTTTCTAATTAAAGTTTGTTTGATTGTACAATCTTTGAATTCAGCAAAAAATAGCTTTTTTCGATTTGTTGTTTATTAGTTTTTTGTTTTGTTTTCTAATGTAACTTTAAAAATCTAAATTTTGTTCTTTCTCTTTTATTTTTTGCTGAATTCCTTTATTTTACTTACTTTTACTTTTTAAATTGTTATTTTTGTATAACTGTTAACAAGCTTATTTCATTTTGTTCAGGGGAAAGAAAGTTTTGAAGGAGAAAATAGTTCAACTCTATGAAGGATTTTTTAGGTAAGCACTGCCATGTTACCGATAAACTTTGTTAAGAATAAGAATGTATTTTTAATTGTTTTTTTCCCAACAATTTATTCAATTTTATATTGCTAGGCTTCTTAAAACAAATTTAGCTGTTAACCGTTTCCCTCAAGCCACCATTTTTTTATGTGAATCGTATTTCGTGAATTTTTCTGTTTAAATTTGCGCATTTCAAAAATAATAAATGTTGGCATTTGAGGTTCATTATAAACAGACAAACAGGAAAAGTATAAGTAGAGTTAGTATAATAAGAAATGTACTTGTCCGAAGAGGACATTAAATAATAAAATCTGAATCTGACCATGAATTTAAGTCGAAATTAGGAATTGATGCAAAATATATTCAGAGGAGAATCAGTTACTCTGGGTAACATCAACTTCTGGGAGGAGTTCTTTCTTTTAAAACCAAAAATGGGAGCTTTGGAGTCAGAGATAGGAGCCTTACAGGTACTGATCAGTATCGTTTTTAGGTACGTTTTAGGTTTGGGACTTTAACGAGGCTCCACAAAGATCTGATAAATTGCCAGCTATGTTAAAATTGTATGCTCGATAAGTTTGCTTTTATTATATTATACACAATTTTTACTCTGGCCAAAGATATCAAACTAAACAATTTTTCAATTTTGATCAATCGTTCTGGTTAATATCTTTGGTTAAAATTTTTTAAAGCATAGAAAATTTTTATTTTTGATTGTGAAAAAGGACAATGGTCATCCCTTCAGTTACTGGTTGAATAATTAATTTTCTTCTTCTATTTAACAGAAATTATGTTGACCAAGATTTTAATTTTAGGCTGACCAGTTGTCAGGGGTGAGGGAAAACTTAAATAGTTTAGTTCATGAATGTATTACACATCTATCCAATACACATCAGGTACAGTTCACGCGGGATTAAAAATTCAAAATAAAATAAATGATGATTTTATCTAATGAGTAGGAATTTTTAAAAGATTTTGGGATCATAACAAATACTGTTCTAAAACAAATCTTTCATATCACACCTTATTTTTTGTTGTAAATTTGTTTTTAAGTCACTAAATTGCAGTTTTTAGATGGAATTTTAATTTTTAGATTCGTGAAAACTTTCTTGTTCCAATTCCTTTAAAGAAAACCCCAATTACTTCCTTGTTGCATAACATGTTCCTTTGTTCAGATTAAGGTTGTTTACGCTCTGCAAACCCTGACAGGAGTTGTTCGAGCTGTTTACAAGAAATGTGCTCAGCTCTCTGGATTCGATCTAGTCAATTTTCTTATCGGTAATAATATTATATTATTGGGAATGTTAATTCAAATTTGAGTGGTCTTTCAAATAAAGAAAATCATCGAGGTTCCGCAGTCGTTAATCTTAGTTTTTTTATCAAAAAAACACACAAATGAAACTACGGATTTTCTACAGTTTGGACAAGAGTCATTTTTCAAATGTATGTTCCCTTTGAACTATATGGACAAATGGACTTTGTTGATTGTAATATCTGGTTCTTATTAAAACAAATATTTCACCAAATGTATGTTCCCTTTGAACTATATGGACAAATGGACTTTGTTGATTGTAATATCTGGTTCTTACTAAAACAAATATTTCACCAAATGTATGGTCCCTTTGAACTATATGGACAAGTAGACTTTGTTGATTGTAATATCTGGTTCTTATTAAAATAAATATTTCACCAAATTGGTTTAAATTCTAGAAAATAATGTAGGGTTTGATAGAGCCGAGCAAGAAATGTCCTCTTTACTAAACCAAATTAACACTTTCCTTACAGAAGATTCTCCAGTTTGTCTCAAGGTAAAGTTTTTATCCTTTACACTATCAAGTTAAAATGTTTGTATTCAAGATATTAGGATCTATGCTTGAACTAATCTCCCCTGAATTATTCCAATATCTGTACGCAGGATCTATGCTTGAACTAATCTCCCCTGAACTATTCCAATATCTGTATGCAGGATCTATGCTTGAATTAATCTCCCCTGAACTATTCCAATATCTGTATACACTATGTATGCTTGAATTAATCTCCCCTGAACTATTCCAATATCTGTATGCAGGATCTATGCTTGAACTAATCTCCGCTGAACTATTCCATTATCTGTATACAGGATATATGTTTGAACTAATCTCTCATGAACTATTCCAATATCTGTATACACTGTATGCTTGAATTAATCTCCCCTGAACTATTCCAATATCTGTATGCAGGATCTATGCTTGAACTAATCTCCCCTGAACTATTCCAATATCTGTATACAGGATCTATGCTTGAACTAATCTCCCCTGAACTATTCCAATATCTGTACCAGGATCTATGCTTGAACTAATCTCCCCTGAACTATTCCAATATCTGTATACAGGATCTATGCTTGAATTAATCTCCCCTGAACTATTCCATTATCTGTATACAGGATATATGCTTGAACTAATCTCCCCTGAACTATTCCAATATCATCTAGGATCTATGCTTGAAGTTTCTCTTGGTTCTGGTGACAGGGACGGATAATGTCTCCTCTAATACGCTCCTTGAGTATCTACTCATCACATCAGGGATACATGGTTCATTTAAAAAAAATTCCAATTTGTAAAATGTTTTTGTGAAAAAGTGCCAAAAAAACTAAAACTCGTTGAATTTTCATTTTTTTTCTTCAAATTTTTTGGCATCACACGTTTTTTGCTTTTTAAGTGTTCCTTATATATTCAGTGTTTGACAGTTTAATTTTACAATTGTCACAAACAGATAGACGAGCTGTCCACGGACATCAAGCGATTACAATCCTTACCCTTCTGGTTCAGTACAGGTACAAAATCGGGGATATGACGATTCACAAAAGTCGTCTTTAATTTAATCCCTTTCACATTTCACATTTCATATAGGAAGGAATCATGAAAATTACCGCCAGAAAAAAACTAAAGTTACAATTTTCTTTATTTCCAGTTATAAGTAAATTAACAAAATGTACTGTAGTTGAGTTCATTTTGTTTAAATCGTTCATTGATATTGATCACTGATCAGTTATGTGAATTGTTATATAAGTTATTAAAAAATTAGTTGATTTTTTGTCAACTATCGGACTATCTGCATGATAAGTCTCGTTGACTGATTTATTAATTGAATATTTGACGGACCGAAAGATTGATTAATTGAGTTGACATGGAAATTTTTATTGATTTAATTGATTAATTGACTAGTTTTCTTGACTGATGGATGGAAAATTGTACTGCTCGATCGACTGGAATGATTTATTACCTTTTTTTTACCGATTCTGTGGTTAAATATTTTCGAATTGATACGTTACTGTAGGTTGACTGATAATACCTATTGATTAATTGATTTCAGGAAGCATGATTCCTCCAACCCGTATATTATAAAGCTGTCAATCCTAGATCAGGAGATGGTTCTTCATGGATACAGTCAGGTTGGTGTAGGGCAGGGTAGAGTTCACAGTTCACAATTCAATAAATATTACCTTTTTTTTCTTGATGTATGACTTTTTTATGAGTTAAATGGAAAATTATTTGTTTTGGATAAAAAAGTTGTTTTTGCTTTTTACTTGAGAAATATTCAAAACGTTAACGCCAGTAAAAATCCTAATTATCTTGGTAGGTTGTTACCAGCAGTCTCTCCGGGTATACAGATAAGTACGAGGAGATAGTGAAGGAAGGAACGGGTTCCAGCTGGCTTGGAACTATCTCTAGTATGGTGGGAACAATGTTTATCCAGGTTAAAAACTAAACTCTTAATTTTTTTAAACGACATGATTTTTTTCTTCAAATAGAATCTACTAGGATATTGTTCTGAGATCGATTGTAGAGCTGAGTTTTCAGTTAAAGTTTTACATTACGAGAAAATCTATAACATGAAAGCTGATGGAAATTATACAGTAATTTGTCCGGGGGGGAGGGGGATGGCTTCGTCTCGTGTATATTTTCTCGAAAAGAAAATCTTTTCCCCAGAAGTTATATTTTTTTTTCAGGGTTTTATTCGCTGAATTGGAGGAAAAAATTATGTTAAGGGAAAAATAAAACTTTTCTTTTNTTGGGGTTCTGAAAAATATACACCCCTGCTTTCCCCCTATATACGTTTCTGATATAGATCACTTTTTATTCCCATTTTAATACTAAAGAATCTAGCTGAAAATATTTCAAAGGTATACAGGCGGAGTCAAAAAAAGTGATTTTTTTAAACTCACCCTTTATACTATCTTTAAAATCACATGCCCCCCACCTTATGTACAGAAAGTTTGGGACTGAATTTAATTAATTGGAAGTCGCTGAAGTACCTCGCCTGGTTCAAATCCTGAATCGCCGATTTACTCTCCTATTCACTACCTAAATCCTCATTAATCTTTAACTTTAATCGGTGATTCAGGATATTAACCAGCGGTAGTTAGTTCAACGCCTTCTCGCAACTCAGTAATTCCGGCCTCTGAAGAGATTATGTTTAACAGTTTGTTCCACTTTTTAGGAGGACAGTTTGTTACGGAATGAGAGGTTGAGATCTCACAACCCCGCCCTGATGGCCCTCTACGAGATTGTTCATCTAAACAGGAACTTCATTACTACCCTGGCGCATTATCAAACAGAATCATCAAATATTAATTCAGAGTAAGTGATGTCAGCTCCCAAGCTACGAATTTTTAAATCATCTGGAAAAGATTTTTGATTTTATTAGATTTTCCTTGAATGTATAATTACAATTTTATTCTTTTAAACCTTTGTTTTAGGAAAAATCTTGTGTATTGCCTTAATTCATTACTTAATCTGAACTAGTAACTTTGAAGTAGGACAGGGTTACCCACAAATAATGAGACTAATCGGGACCTGGAACTTTTTTGATAAAATGAAGGTTTAGTTTGGTTAATTATTTTGAAGCTGTGAACACGAGCTACCTGTTTGCGCACTAAGGGATTAGGAGTAGGAGTGAGAGTAATATATAAGTAGATACAGGTCAGCCTTAAGTCGAGGGTCAAGGAAAAGTCTAGGAAAAGAGGACATGGGACAGTGAGGGGCCGAATCCTCAAAGGCGGAAAACGAGCCCCACACAAACTTGTGGCCACAGTAAAAGGTTGGTAGAGATTAAATGAAAGAAAATACCGGAAGGGAACTGTGCACCTTTCATCTTTTAGCTGACCCTCAATTAAATTTTCAGCGTCGGAACAATAGAAGTGCGTAACTGATTTTAACCAGTGTATTGTTTTTTCACCACCCCATACACAGAAATAATCAAGTCCTTATTTTAAAATTTATTTCTTGATCATCATTTGCTGTCAAGCTAAAAATATAAACATAATTAGTATGATATGATGATATGAAATGTGCTGAATGATAAAATGTTGTGACTAGATAAAGTCATTTGACAGAATACATTAAAATCCAATATTTCAAAATGGTGAAATGTTACGACCAGATACAAGCATTATATGAGAACTTTATGAAAGCTTAAAACATCTGTTTCAAAAGGCACATGAAAGTATTTTACGAAATATAATGATGTCCCAAGCTTTCTAATATAAATCTTACATTTAATGGCGGTTTGGTTTTCTCACAAGCTGATCCAAATGTCTTCTGTTTGGGTTTTATCAGGTTTCAAGTTCTCCGTGCGTCAGTATAATTTCTTCTGCGAATATGAAGAACTATAAGCAACTAGTTTTCATTGTGGATATCACAGAGTTGAGGTTGATTAGGTTTATTAGATAATAATAACCTGTGTGTCCTGTGAACACTGCGGACTGATTCCTTGATTCTGTAGAATTAATGCATGTAGAACAGGATATTCCTGAATTAGTTTAAAGTCAGGTCAGGAACGATCTAGGTCAGGAACGATCTTATTCTGAAAGAGCAACAGTAATACGTAGTACAGAAATGATACGTACAGTCGTCCTCAGATTCTTTCTGCCTGCATAGGAATTATTGTTAATCTATCATTTAACACAAGTTAGATTTAAACAATACTTGGGAGGTTTTCCAGACTAGCTGTGTGCTGTAGATCACCGTGAGATCCCGTTAGATCACCGTGAGACCTTTGTTAAAGCTGACTGAGGTGTAGATGGGTAAATATAAAATGTAGGATCAAACTGTAGATAGGAAGCCCTGGTAAAGATATCTCGTATCAGTCCTGTTCCGCATCTAAAGATCAATCAGTTGAAATCACGTTTCAACATCAAGTATCTTCTTAAAATGAATACATTTCAACAAGTTCTGTTTATTGACCTGCTTTGGAGCCTCAAGAACTCCTGGTTATACTGATCACTCTTGATGATCAACTGGATCAAACAACTGCAATATAAGTAATGAATCTAATGCTTTATATGATCTCCGAACAAAGTTTTGATAACTATTTTGTACCTTGCATGTCATTTGAATTAACGGATCACTTCTTGAGATAGGATTAGGGAGTAAGTCTTTACTGATCTTGATCTCCCATGATCATCTGCAACATGACGATCATTATTTACCACGATAACTTTGGATTAAATATGACATATTTACAGTTTTAACATTTTTAATGTGCCAATATTAGTTGCCTTTAATATGCTTGATAAAATTACTTTATATCTTAGTTATTAAAATACAGAAAATTACATTTTGACGTTCTTTTAACTTATGTTCTTGATTATTTAATCATCCTGTATATATAGTTCTTGAGTGAATCACATTGGTTTATCCTTCTTCTGTCAGGCTCTAAAATAATAGTTTAGATTTTACAGGAACTTGCTAGTAAAAGTAGGAAATAGTTAGACCGCAAAGCGGCCCAGGAAAAGAAACCAAGTAACCGTAAACCCCATAAAGGAGAGAGAGTATAAAAGGAAGCTAGAAGGGAGGGATGGAGGGCAAGAAGAAATGGTTCACTTGAAGGAAGGATGAAGACTGAAGTAAACAGAACTAGGGAGGTAGGAGAGGAGTGAGAGAGAGGGGCAAGGCCCCACCCCCCAATGAGAAGGATGCATGTCAGCGTCCAGTACATGGGAGAGAGAGAACCAACTCCGCCAATGCCAGAACAGAAAGTCTTCGTCCTCACTCTCACATCGTTTAACCACTGGATCCGATGATCAGCTCCTTAACAACCATAGGGCACCATTAAAACATTAAACCCGGACAGTCAGAGTTCTATTTTTGTGCTATTGAAAGGTCTAATGGTGTTGTCTTTATAAATCTATTCATCTCGTAAAACCATGATTTACTTGTAAGGTATATTTTAGAAACCTTGATGATAATATTGTGAATGCAGCAGATCTAAAGTCGGTCAACCTGCTTGTCACTTTCTTAGAATACATCAGTATTGCTATGCAGGTAATTAGATTTTTGGAAGATTAGGCTCAAATTACAGGACAATTAAATTTTGCCGGAAGAAAAAATTAATCTTACTGAGGTTGAAACTTTTGTATTGTTAACCCTTTCACAAAGAACTAATCTTTATCTGTTTTATTTCGGCAAATTAGGTTATTTCCTTTCTGGAAGTCTTTTAAGGTTAATGAGAGATTGCAAAAATACGATTTAGCTGTAATTCATGGATAACACTTAATTGCCTGATATAAAGTTTTTACTGTGGTTATCAAGTTCAGGCGCTGTAGATTAGCGCTTTCTCACACTAAAGGACAGGGTTAATTTTAATAATTTTAATTCAATACTCAATATGAATAAATACTTATTTATCTATTTAATTTAATTTATTTGAAGGATACTAAATCTGAGATTGCTGAGAAGAATATAACATTATGTTTCATTATATTAACATGTATTACAGGTATGTTTTTTATTTTATTTATAGCAGTGCTTAGGATCTGCAACATTTTGGCAAGATCGTCTATCGGTGTTAGGTACTTCCCAAAGGCATTTTCCTCTTATGCAACTTCCAAAATGTGCAATTTCCCGGGCGGCAACTTCCCTAAGGTTAAGTTTGGCCATCTGAGGCGCCGCAGGGTGTCATTGGGGCCGAACGCTGCGACTAGTATGGGATAGGGGGTAGAGCACCGCGGCTAGAATGGGTTAGGGGGCCGAGCGCTGCGGCTAGGACAGACTTGGGAAGTTAACGCTTGGGAATATGCACATTTGGGAATTTTCCACTTGAGAAGTTGCCTTTGAGAGAGTACCTAACATCATCCTAAAACTGCAAAATGAAACTTTTTGCTTTCAAAGTTAAATGCTTGATGAACCATTCAACAGTTGAGGAAATCAACTGTTGAATGGTTCATCAAGCATTAGCATAAAAATAATAATAATAATAATATAATAATAATATAATAATAATAAGCTATAAAAAATCAGTAAATACTAAAGAAACTTTCCTGATCAAAGATACGGATTTGGAACAGCATCAAAATGAAATGGATCATAAGCACTGATTTTTAGTCTTTCTCGCTAATTGCTTTCTAGATACTTAGTTATTCACTTTTACTGATTCATTTTTCTGTCATTTCTATCAAACTAAACAGGGATAAATTACCCTTATACAAAAAGTGCCATTAGCGATTTATGACTTTCTTTTAATTGGATAATAAACAAAATCACGAACTCCTTTTTCTCGCTGAAATCAGACATTTGGTTGCTTTTGTCGCGATTAACGATAAAATGCCATTTTCTGAGTTAATAGTTTGAAGGGTTCTTTTGAGATTTTTTCTAGCACTGCACTTTGAATGTAAAGGTGGTTGTAATTAATGTTGACAATCCCTTTAAGAGGATCAGTATGCTACTGCTCTGATGCATGATCCAAACTTGGTGTTCAAGGTTAAACTACATCGTGCTCCTATGCGGCACAGGTATACTAGTTACTTGAGAATACTCGTAGATTTATCATCTGGATTCCAGATAGAAGCATAGAAATTAAGCCTTTTTGTATCCACCATTTGATTCATAGGTTTCTCATTCCTGCTGTTCTGGTATTTTGTCCTATTAAGACTAGGAAGTTTTTGTAATATTTTTGATATGATTTGACTATTGCTTTCGTACCATTTTTAATACTCAATACTTAATACGCAATGCGTAATACTCAATACTCACATTTTTCTTATTGTTTATATATATTGTGCTAATCTGTCTGTTTTTCAAATTGTGTTCAATAAACGGAATAAATCCAAAACCAGGGGACCAATGTTTTAGGGCCTCAAATCAGCTCAGGGGGAGAATTTTGGTTGATAAAAATAAAAAATATTGCCTGTAAAAATGCCGATTCACTATTTTGAATTTTTTAAAACAATGATCTTTTACTTGTTCTAATTAATATATTTTAGTATTAGTTTTTTAAATAAATTAAAACATATTTACGAACTTCTTCTTTGTCTTAAATCTGAAAGTGTAAATAAAAAAAGATTTGTATATTAGCAACAAAGAGCTAAACGTAAAGCAAAGATTATTAAAAGAAAGGCGTAGATTGTTAAATGTGTATTGACGTACTGTGTAGTTCAAAAATAATAAAAAATACCGTTTTTTCAAGGTTTTTGTTTAGAAAAGGAGGAGGTGAGGTTGAGCTCCATGGAAGAGCTCTAGTTTGCAGTCTTCTTGATCTAATGGTGGAATTCATCAGGTAGGATAAATGATAATTACTAGACACGGACTAAATTTAATGATTTTGAGCAAGGTCGCTTAACTACCTACTACCAGTGTAAATTCGAATCACTGGTTCAAAGTTAAAGAATAAAGATTAATGAGTATTTGAATCGGAGGTTTCTGCCCCGGTAGAGGATGTGTATTATGTACTAAGCTTGTAATAAGGAATGTGCCTTCCCTCTTAAGTTGATTTAAGGTTACATCAGATTAACTTATTACATTATTATTCATCCCTGCTCCTAAGAATTTTTTAGAGAATCTTTTAAGAAAATTATAAAAATTAATATCTTTAAAAAAACTTATTTTACAAGATCTCACATGATGAAACGGTTACCATTGCAGCTCCATCTTTTAGCCATTGGATGTGTCCATAAGGTAGGAAAATTGATTTGAATCCATTTTAGTTTAATCCCCCCCCCCCTCTTTGAAAATCAACTTTTTCCCCTTAAGTTAGGTATGCTTACGCATAGTACCAAAGATTAGGGTTTATTGGGGAAAATAAATGATTTTTAAGGGAAAATATATATTTTTTTGGGTTAAAAGTATGAAAAATGATGAAGAAACTTGCCGTTCCAGGTCCAATTTTTCATTTTTTCCCCCCATATCTTAAAAATAATTTTTTACATTCTATCAATTTATCCATCCCATGTCTATTGTCTATGCATCTCTTGTGTCCTGTCTATCCTATATCCATTCCATATCAACCATCCATCTCTTGTATACTGTCTATCCTATATCCATTCCATATCAACCATTCATCTCTTGTATCCTGTCCATCCTATATCCATTCCATATCAACCATCCATCTCTTGTATCCTGTCCATCCTATATCCATTCCATATCAACCATCCATCTCTTGTATCCTGTCCATCCTATATCTATTCCATATCAACCATCCATCTCTTTCCATCCCATACCATGTATTTCTTGTGTCATACCTAATACCCACTCCATTCCATATCCATTTAATATAAGGTATCCTCTTGTTGCCTCCCATATTTATTTCTTGTGTTCTAAACACTCCATATCCACCTCTTGTTCCCTCCCATATTTATTTCTTGTGTACTAAACATTCCATATCCATCTCTTGTTCCCTCCCATATTTATTTCTTGTGTTCTAAACAATCCATATTCATCTCTTGTTCCCTCCCATATTTATTTCTTGTTCTAAACACTCCATATCCATCTCTTGTTCCCTCCCATATTTATTTCTTGTGTTCTAAACACTCCATATTCATCTCTTGTTCCCTCCCATATTTATTTCTTGTGTTCTCACTCCATATCCATCTCTTGTTCCCTCCCATATTTTTTTTTGTGTTCTCACTCCATTTCCATCTCTTGTTTCCTCCCATATTTATTTCTTGTGTTCTAAACGCTCCATATCCATCTCTTGTTCCCTCCCATATTTATTTTTTGTATCCATCCCCCATTCAATTTATAAATATTTCAAGGTGTTAGCCTACCAACGACGGTGTAGAGTAAGGATAACATATAACTGGAGAGAACTCTGGTCCGCTATGATAGGTAAATGGATAACCTACAGTCCTAATCTGAAAGACCCGGAATCAATTTTCAATTAATTAGACGATTTAAAAATCTGTTTTTACAAATATGATTGATGAAACAAAAATAACCAATAAACATGTCCTGCCATTTTGAAATGTTTTTACAAATATGATTGATGAAACAAAAATAACAAATAAACATGTCCTGCCATTTTGAAAATGTGGTCAGCCTTTTTTGAGCATTTAAAATTGCCAGAGATATATATATATGTATACTGTATAGTCGCCTGAACAGCTGTCCATTAATTCCGGGTCTTTCTGATATGACTGTTCTATGAAAACTTGTAAAAAAGCCCCAAAAAATATTTAAATTTAAGTTTAAAGGGACTGTCTGCATAATTTCAAGCAAACCCTTCTTTTAACATTTTCATTCCCGATTCTTTTCGAACGTCACGATAGAATGAGAAGGAAATTGATAAAATTTAATACTTTTTAAATCATTGTTTCTCAGAGGAAATTTTAAATTGTACCTTCGAGCATGCACCCTTTAATTGGGGGGTCGCATGATGTTAGGTCGACGCCTGTAACCGCTTTGCTACCGTCAATATCTGAACATATTGTTGATTACAAATATAGGATTGTTAGATACAGAAAATTGAAAGTTAAATTAAGAGAATAAATTAAAAATACAAACCTCTCGAAACTATTACTCTTCTTTATTCTTTCAACTTTTATCCTCCACTTGAGTTTTAAGAAAGTGAAAATATCCGTTAACAAATATTCTTAATTATCCGACCATTTTCTTAGGTTTGGTCAAGTTTATAGTTGGCAATGAAGCAACAATGATCAAAAAACTAAATGTTTTTGGACTCTGTTTGCAGGTGATCTTGCGTACTGTATTTAACATTTTTAAAAATCATTTAAATCTCAACTTAAATGTAGCGAATGATTAAATTAGTTTTTTTGGGGGGTGGGGAGGGGGGATTTCCTATTAGTAATAGCTTTTTAACAAAGCTACTGAAAGAAAATAGATTGATTTGATAAAATGTTTAGGTGGTGAATATATTTAATATTTATATAACCTATGGAGACACCTTCCTTCCCTCTGCTAGCTGTTATGATGAACTGTACTATGAACTAGTCAGGTTGGTGAACCTAGAGGTTTTCTGCTCTAGCTGTAGATTTTAGGACGTATGAACCTCCAGTTTATTAACTTCTAATTTAAGCCGGTTTGTTAGGGATCTCTAAACCAGTTAATTAGGGAGTCAGTTTACATGTATTTTGATTATTTCTCGACTTAGAACACCAGTTTTTTGGGGCTGGAAACCATTTCATGGTGTTTTAGAAACAAATTTGTTAGTGGGCTTTGAAAACTAGCTTTTTGGGTCTAGAAACCGGTTTAATGCGTTTCTAGAAGCAAGTATATTTGGGGGCTCAAGAACCCTGATTTTTGGGTCTCGAAACAACTTGTTGTGTTCTAAAAACCCGTTTATTGGTTTCTAGAAACCGGTTTAATGGAATTCTAGAAAGTATATTTAGGGGCTCTAGAAACCCTTTTTTGGGTCTCGAAACAACTTTTTGTGTTCTTGAAGCAAGTTTATTTAGGGGCTCTGAAAACCAGTTTGTTAGTTTCTAGAAACCTGTTTTTTTTGGGTCTCGAAACCACTTTTTGTGTTCTAGAAGCAAGTTTATTTAGGGGCTCTGAAAACCAGTTTGTTGGTTTCTAGAAACCTGTTTTTTTGGTCTCGAAACGACTTCCAGGAAAGAAACAGGGCTTTCATAAATGATCTGTGGCCCACTATGAATTCTATTTTGCGTCCGAGAATTATTATTTGTATAATGTATACATATTTTTTTCAGATGCCAGGACGTGTTCAACAATTTGTATTCTATGGCACTAAGATACTCCATGGTAAGTTAAAGGCAACTTAAATTTATAACGTGCATATTTGTAACCTACAGGGTACACTACGTCCCAAACTATATTGGATCGTGACATAGAATTCTCCATCTATTAATTTGGTATTGAAGCTTGAAGATAAATTGAAAGGAGACTTTCTGCATGAACACAAACTTAATATTTATAATGTTAACAGAGTGGAGGGGAGTTTAAAGATACCGCCATGAAAGTGACAAACAGTTTGATTAATATCCGAACAATCACCTCCCACTTCCATCCCAGGATAGAGGCGTGGTTAGCCTCTCAACAGCTGTCAACACCATCAGAGGTTAGATTCTATCATTAACAAGACGGCTGACGAACGGAAAACTTTTTATTGCGGATTTTGAATTTTTGGGAGAAATAAGTTATACTTTGGAAAAATGATCCATGATTACAACCTTTGTTATTTCAAATTCTGTAATCCTAGCAAGTTTTGCACGAAAATTGATTACACTTTGATGAATATTCTCCTTATATTTGTTAACTTAAAACCTAAATAATGAATTGATGATGGTTCTGTTTAAGGTTGAGATCCTGGAAGTAATCTGCTCCAACTATGAGTCCCTGACCTTAAAGCTTCAAGAAAGCTTAGATTTATACGAGGAATGTTTACATCAATATATATATAAAGTCGTCTTCCTATTCCAGAGTTTTAGCTGTTTATCTATAATATAACAACATGAAGAAGACCTCACATGCTAGATTGATAACTTACAAGACACGCTCTCCAGCAAAAATCGCCCAGTATTTAGAAAATTACTCCTTTTAAACTAAAGCCAGAAACAAGCGCGTCGGAGTTTTAGAATGAATGGAATTTATCTAGGGCTACAAAAACGTTTCAGGGACTTAGTAGGGTACAACCAAAGCCCAAAACTGTTGCGACGTTTTTAATGATTAACTTTCGTATTATCCACCATCTCTGCGTACCATCTACAAAATGTGTACTGTAGCGTCTATAATGCATACTGCAAATTGTACTTAATAAAAAAAGTAAAATAAAGCAAGGAAATTGTGACCAGACCAAGTAATAATAATATTAAGTAATAGCCTGTGTTTTTTCTTTTGATAAAATGTATTATATAAAACCAACAATAAATTCAATATGCATAAATATGCCTTAGGTCCTTTATAAAAATTTATTTTAATTGCCCACCAGACTCAGATAGCAACACTATCAAATGCATATTTTCTACACATGGCAACAGGGGGGAGAAATAAAAATAGGAACTACACATTACACAATATGCTATAGATATTACTGGTCTTATTACATCTGTTGTATAAGTTGTTTGCTGGGAGCAATTTAGATTATTATTATTTAAGGACAACCCATCATTCAATAAAATAGGGGTCGGCGAAAAACTTTTCCAGTTTTTGAATATTAATATTTAAAAGAACTGAAACCATAATATTAAGCGACCCTCTGTGCTAAGATGGCAATGGCCGATTCACGACGATACCATTGAAACCTTTTTCTGACCAATGATGTGGAAGATATTGCTGTTTTTCTAGGTTTAAAATTGTTTAATTCCTTAATGTTTTCCTGCAGTAGAAATGCGAAAGTCACTTTTGTAAAGAAACCACAACAGAGCCGGCGATTTAAAAAATTCAAGAAAATACAACTCGGGTCTAAGCTGTTGTTGAGCCTTATTTACGGCTCGGGCTTTCGAATTTAAGTTGCATCTATTTTTCAACAGAATTTAGTTCATAAAACCGGTTTAATGTTGTATTTGGCGGATTTTCATAGTTGGAATTGGTGCATTCCGGGTTTTGATGAGAACAAGACCCAACATTGAGCCTTATTCTTCACTAAAACCAACCAAGGTCGGTTTTATTTTCATTGGGCTTAACTCCTTAAGTCGAGCCTAAGATCTCGCAGCTGTCAATCACGTGACACAAGCTCCACAAGCTGTTGTCAGAGTTGGGTCTAAGATTGGGTCTTAAAGCTGCGTTTAAGGTATTAAGACTCGAGCCGAAGCTTTTAAATCGCGGGCTCTGAGAACACTAAATTTTCAAAATTATAAACATTGATATATAATCCATACTTGATCAGACATACTTGATCAGACATACTTGATCAGACATACTTGATCAGTATATACGAAATTTTTAATTTAGCGTATGTTTTCGCTGAACTTGGAAATAATTGATTTTTGGGAAAACAAATGATTTTTAAAGGGGTATGAGTATTAAAAAAAGACAATTTTCCCGCGGTTGCCCTTCTTCTCTTCCCCATTATCCGCCATTACTGCTACGACTTTTATACCTCGTAACTCCTAGTTTTGATTTTATGCACAAGTAAGAGAAAACAAATTAATCTGGTTACATTTAAGATATTCAAAACGTGTTTGTTCTTCTCAATAGCTCTTCATTGAGAGGAGTTATGATCGAAAACATAAAAGATTTCAATATTCCGTGCAAATCAAGTTTGACGTGAGTGCAATCTCCCGAAACATCAGATCTTATTTTTAACCTCTGAACAAAACACGTGACAAAATGCATGTTCATGTCTTGACAGATTGAAGTTGCAGAACGCATACTGCTAAAGATGCGAAGTATTTTCTACTACGTATTTCTGGAAAATTCTAAAATTACGCATAAAGAAATGTTATTTATATTAAAACTATGTTATATATGTGTGATGCAAAATCGATCCTTAGCAACAAGCAACAAGCAACAAGCAACATTAAGGGTGTCCAAAATTATTTTTTTTGATCAAAAGCTTCAAACCTAAAAATTTCGGACAGTTATACACACTGAGATGATTTTTTAAAAATATTGAATGATAATTCCGTTGTTTATTTGGGTATATTTTTAGGAGATCTTGTTGGATGATTTAGATTTGCAAGAAGTACTTCACAACTTTTCTTCCATTCAATAATATCATAATTTCAGAAGGATGGTTAAAAGTCGTCTTTTATCCATTCTTCCAATTACTATTTTTTGTTAAAAATGAACTGGAATATTCTTAAACTTGATGGAATTTTTGTATTTTAAGTAACCTTAATATCAAATCCGGAGTTTATATATTTTCTTGATAATATTTTTACACGAAAGCAACATAATTGAAAGGATTTTTTCTCCCATTAATTCAAAGAAATTTATCGTTAACTGAGAGTTCTTCTTTTCTCCCCTCATCTGCGCCCCCCCCCCCCCCCCC